AGAAGAATTAGGACTCTACTGTTGTAACTTCTGTAGTTCTTACATGTGAAGTGGTATACTATCATTTGAAAGCTGACTGACTAAAAATATATATATATAAATCTAAGAGCAACCACTACATTTTTAAAGAATAAATAAAAAATTAACAGAAGAGATAAGAAATTGTAAAAATAATCCAATACCAAAAAAAGTAAAATATCTCACTGTTTAAAATATCATTTACATGTTGAAATGATGTATCCAAATTGAGAACCTAAACATACTGGGTTTTGAAGACATAGATATCTGCATGAGCGCTTAGTCGCTCAGGTGTGTCCAACTCTTTTCGACGCCATAGGCTGTAGCCTGCCAGACTCCTCTGTCCGTGGAATTCTCCAGGCAAGAATACCAGAGTGGGTAGCCATTCCCTTCTCCAAGGAATCTTCTTAATTCAGGGATCGAAGCCACGTCTCCTGCATTGCAAGCAGATTCTTTATCATCTGTGCCACAAGACAAGCCCCTATATGTATATACAGATATGCATATACATATATACACACATTCCAAAGGTGGGAAGAAAAGAGGAGAAAACAGAAAAGGAACAAGAAATATATGGAACAAATGGAAACAAGGGAGATTGTACATTTTTTTAAAAATCTGGTTTTTATGACATAGTTTTTTTTTTTTACCACTTACAAAATCATTGTTTATCAGTATCAATTGGGAAACAGCCTTCTTTGATGGGATAAATGTAGCTCAACCTTGTGAAGACGGTTCATTTTCCCCAAATGATCTGTAGCTTCATGTTATTCCAGTAAACATTCTAACAGGGTTATCGTCCAATTAAAATAAATAAATTTAAAAAAAATCCTAACGGGACTTCCCTGGTGGCCCAGTAGTGAAGACTCTGTGCAGGGGGCCTGAGTTTTGATCTTGGTCAGGGTAGATCCCACCTGATGCAACTAAGAATTTGCATGCTGCAAAAGGAGAGGAGAAGGGGATGCCAGAGGATGAGATGGTTGGATGGCATCACTAACACGATGGACATGAGTTTGAGTAAGCTCTGGGAGTTGGTAATGGACACGAAGCCTGGTGTACTGCAAGTCTGTGGTGTCGCAAAGAGTTGGACTGAATTGAACTGAGCAAAGATCAAAGATCTCAAGTTCCATAACTGAGACCCAGAGCAGCCAAATAAATATTTTCTAAAGTCCTATCAGACTTTTTGTAGATATAAACAAGCTGATACTAAAATTTACACGGATGAGATTAGAATAGTTTAAAAAAAGGTTGAAAAAAATAAACAGGTGTTGGCGGGCCACACTACCTGATTTCAAAACTAACTATGAAGTTAGAGTAATCAACACAGTGTATTTTAAGTGAGTAGACAGACACATAGATCATTGGAACAGAATAGAAAGTTCAGAAACAGACTTACTGAATTTGACCAGTTGATTATTAATAACGGTGCAGAATCTATTCAATGGCAAAAGGGTAGGCTTTTCAACAGATCGTCCTGGAACAATTAAAGACCCATATCAAAAAAAGATCATTGGCCCACACTTCATATCACATATAAAAAATTGACTCCAAATGAACCATACATGTCAGTATAAAAGCTAAAATTGATTTGTGATGTCTTTTAAAATCATGTATGTTATTTACACATACATATACACAATGCTATGTTTCTGGGTCATTTTTTCTCTGAGATTTTCAAGATTTTTAAAAATTATTTTTATTTATTTATGTATATTTTGGCTGCGCCGGGCAGCATACAAGATGGTTCCCCGACCAGGGATCACACCTGGGCCTCCGCAGTAAAAGCATTGAATCCTAACCACTAGGCCAGCAGAGAGCTCCCTCTGTGGTTTTCGTGTAGTAATGTCACCCTGAAACAACAGTGATCATTTTATCAATATGATTTAATGTGGAGTAAGACTGTTTCCCTCTCATTACACTTCTTTTTTACTCAAAAGTCTGTGCAGTCCAACTCAGCCTTCTTCACTAGTCACCCGAAAGTCCTCTCAGTAATGTCATCAGCGACCTGTTTACCACACCTGTCTTTATCTACCAGACTTCTGTGTGACAGCTGACGCACTCTTATCTTCCACCTCACCCAAAGTGCATGTAAAACATTTTATTGGTCAGCTTGGACTGCCATAACACAACACCAGAGACTTGAGTGACTTGACAGCAGTTTATTTTCTCACAGTTCTGGAGGCTGTACGTCCCAAGATGAGGATGCCAGTGTGGTCAGGTTCTGCTGAGGGAGGGTGTTCTTCCCGGCTTGCAGACAGTCACCTTCCTGCTGCGTCTTCATATGGTAGAGAGCGAGCTCTGGTGTTTCTTCCTCTTTGTATGGGGGCACCAGTTCTTTGGGATCAGAACTGGTCCACTCATAACCTCATTTAACTTTAATCCCTCCTTAAAGGCCTGTCTGCAGTATAGTCTTGCCTGGAGAATCCCATGGACAGAGGAGCCTGGTGGGCTACAGTCCATGGGGCCGCAAAGAGTCAGACATGACTGAGTGATGAATACTTTCACTTTTCACTATTTTTGCATCTCTAGTACTTGATACATAATAGGCACCCAGTAAACATTTTAAATGGATGACACTTCTGTTCCCCTCTCTTAGGTAACTACCATGAATCTATTTCCTAGATCATAAATTTTGGTTATTTTTCACTTTCTCTTTTATCCTTGACATTCAACTATATCCAAAGTGCTAAGACTTTTACCTTCTAAAGGTCTCTCAAATTCATTCCTTCTCTAGCTCCAGGGCTATATCTTACCCTTCCTCATCTTTCAGATTATTTTAATTGCCTGTTAATGGGATCACCATTTCTAGAATTTCTCCCATCCAACCCTTTATTTTGCTGCTAGATTGACCTTTCTAAAATGCCAGTCTGATCATATCAGTTCCTTTTAACATCTCCCTAGAGCTTAAGTCTAATATCTAAATGTCTTAGCCTGGCAGAGTCCTTTGTGGTTTGGGCCGTGTCTACCTTATTATCCTCATTTTCCATTATATCCCAAAGAATTACGCTCAAGCCTTACTAGCTGACTTTCAGTTTTATAGATACGTGATACTTTTTCATGCCTTTATAAGTATCTTTCATTCTTGGAATGCCTTTTCCAAATTCTGCATATGATGACTTTTTTAGGTGCTTTGTTTACCAATTATAAAATTGTTTAAACAGTTTAAGGGAACTTTCTGACCTCTTCCAGTTAGAATTAACTACTCCATCTTTGGTCTTCTGCACTTTTTACAAATCTGATTTTAGTGTATTAAGTATTTGTTAGCTGATTTCCAGGTGGCTCAGTGGTAAAGAATCCACCTGCCAAGCAGGAGATGCACGTTCAATCCCTGGGTCTGAAAGATCCCTTGGAGAAGGAAATGGCAACCCACTCCAGTATTCTTGCCTGGGAAATCTTATGGACAGAGGAGCCTGGGGGCTATAGTCCGTGGGGTTGCAGAGTTGGACATGACTTAGCAACTAAACAACAACAATTATTTGTTATCATACCTGTCATCTATACTGGACTTGAGATCAGAGGTCACATATAACTAATTTTATATTCTCAAAATCTAGTACATGGTAAGTGCTCAATAAATGTTTGTTGAATGAATGAAAAGATCAACCATAAAATTTAATGATAAAAGTGAATGTTTTATTTTATCAAAAAAACTGCTCTGTGCCAGGCCCTTGGTGCTGGAGTCAAAGGAGCATCGTGGCATGTAGGTTTCAATAAATGGTATTCTTTGAAAAAAATTCTGAAAACGGGCTGATTACTGTGCAAAGAGAGAATGTTCCTTTGTTTTTCTTCTCTGTGTTATTCATCTCTCCTACTTCCTTATTTTAAACCTCTTCCTAGGAATTCCCTGGTGGTTAATTTCCAGTGGATAAGACTCCACAATTTCAACACCAAGGGTCTGGTTTTGATCCCTAGTTAGGGAATTAAGATTCCCACAAAATGTGAGGTGCAGCCAAAAAAAAAAGCCTTAAAAACCCCAAACAAAAAACCCTGGTGGTCCAATGGTGAAGAATCTGCCTTCCAGTGCAGGGAACGGGGGTTCCATTCCTGGTTGGAGAGCTAAGATTCTGTATTCCTCAGGGCAACTAAGCTTACCACAACTAAGACTCAGTGCAGCCAAATAAACACATATTTTAAAAAATAAAAGCTTTTCCTAGAACTATTCTCCGGTTGCTGCCAGTTTGATTGGGATCAATGGCCTAGACTAAGTTAAGAAAACCTGTGTATCTGGAATTGCAGGAGATGTCTTAATAAGTTTGTTTTTGGTCCTGATGATAAAACTTTTTAACTGGTCTCTTCTCTTATTCTCTTAAATTCATAATCACAAGTAATTCATTGATTAAGTTTTCCCATCAGTACCTATGCAAAGAAGAGAGACAAAGTATGGATCAAGAAATCCGAGTTAAAAACCGTGGGATCTGAGGCTATGCTGGTGGTCCTGTGGTTGAGAAATCTACCTGCCAATGCAGAAGACACCAGTTCGATCCCTGGCCCTGGAAGGTTCCACATGCCTCAGGGCAACTAAGCAGTTATGGCGCACAGGCTTAGTTGCTCCATGGCATGTGGAATCTTCCCAGACTAGGTATCGAACCTGTATCCCCTGCATTGGCAGGTGGATTCTTACCCACTGTGCTGCCAGGGGCGTCCCCTACCTGAAATCTTGCCTGGCTTCTCTGACCTCTTTTGACTCTTGGCAGCAGTGCCTGTCAGAACAGTTGCTTTCCCCCTGCTAAAATCACCTGGAACAGGTGAGAATGGATGGTCCTTGTGATAGCATCCATGTCCGAAGCACCTCCTATCTTAGTGGCCCCAGTGGTGACTTCCTGTGAGTCACACCCTATGGACAAGGTGTTTGGCAAAGGTTTCAAAATTGTGCTGTGACCTCAGGCAGCTTCATTCTCCTGGGACATTTTGAATAATTGGAAATGATGGGTTATTGGAAGCAAACTGAATGTTCTGATCACAAGGTATCTCTCTGATTGCAGAGTTGCCTCACTCACAGAGTTCTCCAGCTGTCAGCAGCGCCTGCACAAAAGTGCTCTATTTCACTGACCGGTCACTTACACCCTTCATGGTCAATATACCAAAGAGGTGAGATTCTGAATCATTTCTCCTTTAAAAAGGACAGGAGGGCAGAATCATTCGTTACTGCCCGCCTAACCACCTGCAAGGTGTCGCAGTGTAGTGAGAAGGGCACAGGAAACAGAGATTGAAGTTCCAGCTTCACCACTAACCTTCAGCATTACAAGGGACACGTCGGGATCTGCTATACAGTATAGACACAATAATAACGCTTCCAGTCCTGACATGCAAAGATGCTCCAAGTCAGGAGTAACAGTTTTTAAAGTGCTCAAAATAGCTTCTGCTGAGAGCTACGGATTACAGCCTAGCATTCCAGGGCTATTTATTACTTATTGACCTTTGTTGCTATTGGATGATGAGAACTAATCTAAAGAGAATTCATGTTAAAAACCTTCAAACTTTTCAGTTAATATACTCCTTTCTAAGGTAGATGGTTTTGTAATAAAGATTTTTAATCTCTGGAACCAACTGCTGAGAGGGGTGTTAAGATTTACCGTTCCTAAAGGGTCTGGGTTAGAGGCGAGCTTTCTGAAGTAAAGTGGTATAGTTTGAATTCTCCCAGCCTGGAGAAATGGAATTGTTGCAAAGAAGGAAATCAAGAGAACTTAGACATATTGATAGTTTAACAAATTAGATTGCTGACACTTTGTGTCTTATTTCCAGAGTGAAACAGGGGGGGGGAAAAAGTGACTTGGCTTCTGCCAAAGCAGTAAATCTATTTTAAATTCTCAGATTGTCCCATTTGTAATGCTATTTACATTCCCTAATGGGGCTTCCCGGGTGGCTCAGATGGTAAAGAATCCAGCATTGCAGGAGACCCAGCTTCGATCCCTGGGTCGGAAAGATCCCCTGAAGAAGGGAACGGCTTAATATTCTTGCCTGGAGAATTGTGCAGAGTTGGACACAACTGAGCGACTAACATACTTTACATTCCCTGCTGCTGCTGCTAAGTCGCTTCAGTCGTGTCCGACTCTGTGCGACCCCATAGACGGCAGCCCACCAGGCTCCACCGTCCCTGGGATTCTCTAGGCAAGAACACTGGAGTGGGTTGCCATTTCCTTCTCCATTCCCTAACAACCGTGACTAACTCCCTAACTTCTGCTAATAGAATCATTTGAGTTACCAAGGGCAGTGACCTAACAAGGCCATGCTGTTTCTCCCAGCAGAGACTTTGACAGGGGCCTGGGTTTAAAATGAACATCTTATCTTTTCAACCCACTGATAACAGTCTATTTTAGTGTTCTCTCCTTTTGTTGCAGGCTGGGGGAGGTGACACTGAAGGATTTTAAAGCAGCTATTGACCAGGAGGGAAATCATCGGTATCACTTTAAAGCACTGGATCCTGAGTTTGGCACTGTCAAGGAAGAGGTACAGAACCCATGGGGAGTCTGGGTGGTATTGCTGGTTGTTCTGAACCCTACAGACTCCTACTGAAGGTCTAGTAAAGGAGGAAACAGACAGAACAGGTTCCATCTTGAAAGCAGGACTCTCTCTTGGGCCGGACTGTGGACTTAGAGCTATATGCCCTGTATCTATGGAAACGACATACAAACTGGAAAATCAGACTCCCCGGATGGAAGAGCCCCAGGGCTCATGCCTAGAAAATACCTAAAAAAATACCTAATTATCTGTGTAACCGAATAGAATCATAAATTCTATTATGCTTATTGGGGTATGACCACAGGCCTATTGATAATTGTCCACTGTTAACTACCTAGGCTTAAGGCATACAAATCACAGGTTTAAGGCATAGGAATCACGGGTTAACTTTGATTGTATCTTTCTTTTCCTTTGTTCAGACTAGTTTCAGAGAATTTGGGGAGGTGGAGGTGGGTTTGAGCATGTACACTTAGGGTATATAAGGTTTTCGCAAAAATTGGTCGGGGTCCTTGGCTAAGAGGAGACTCTGCCTTGGGCCCGCCGGTGTAATAAACTGCACTCCACTATCTGCACTGTCCTTCTGAGTGAGTTTGTTTCCCAGACACATGGCTACAATGCTAGCACCCAGAAATACTGGAATTCCCTAACTAGGTCAGTGAGGTTTCCCAGTGCCTCAAGCCAGTGGACTACTCTAGACTGAGAAGTTTCAGGGAATGGCCCAAGAAGTTGATAGCTTAATTAGTTCATGGATTTAATCACTCTAATCAAACTTAGAATTTTTATTTTAAAAAGGAAAAAGTTTTGGGGACTTTCCTGGCAGCCCAGTGGTTAAGACTCCGCGATTCCAATGCAGAGGGTGCAGGTTTGAGTCCTGGTTGGAAACTAAGATCCCACATGCCCCGGGGTGTGGCCAGAAAATTTTTAACAAAGGAAAAAGTTTTGTTAGGGAAAATAAAGAACCCACATTGAAGAAAAGCTTGGCTTTGGGGTCTTTTTTTCTTTCTATAGCCAAACCTTAGAAAACTGTCTGCTTCCTGTATAGAGCAAAACAAACATGAATATATGGCATGAATATATGAAACGGTATATTGTGGTAGTAGTTTCTCAGAAAATGAAAATGAGGAAATACTGCAAAGTCATTTATGCTTATTCTCAGTCCTTTACTATTTTCTTAGCCTACACTTTATAGTATATCTATCAGAAACATTTTTTTTTTTAAAGAGTTCTGTGCTCTGATAGTGGTTGCAGAATGAAAAAGAGTGGAAAAGCCGATCTTTTATTTTGTAAAGATTTCCTGGACTTCCCTGGCAGTCAAGTTATTAACCTGGACTTCCCTGGCAGTCGAGTTATTAAGACTCTCTTCTTCTACTTCAGGGACACAGGTTCAATCCCTGGTTGGGGAACTAAGATCCTGCATACCACATGGCACAACCACCAAAAAAAAAAAAAAATTCTTCACTGGACTGTTTTAATAACCTTGTTCTGTTAGTGACTTAGGAAATGAATAAATGAATGAAAAGGACTGCACACACACATATTAAGATTAGCCTTTGTTCTGACCCTTTCTTTATAATGCCTGGGACCAAAATTTTCTCCCTTCTATTTTTTTTTTTTTTTCATTTATTTTTATTAGTTGGAGGCTAATTACTTTACAGTATTGTAGTGGTTTTTGCCATACACTGACATGAATCAGCCATGGATTTACATATGTTCCCCATCCTGATCTCCCCTCCCACCTCCCTCCCCATCCCTTCTATTTTTTAATTATTCTCTCCCTTCTCTTTCAAATGCTTATAGTATTGCTTTCTTCTGAGAAGCCTAAAGTGCTCTATGGTTAGTAATTTATTAAATCTTATAAATCTCTATGAGCAAAGCAGTACTAGAGGGGTGCTTTTACCATTTCGTAGATGTGGAACTAAGGATATATAAATCATACATATATACACCATGCACAGTTGACCCTTGAACAATATGGGTTTGAACTGCATGGATCCACTTATATGCAGATGCTTTTCAATAAATACGTACTACAGTATTATATGATTGGCCATTGGTTGAATCTGAGGATGCAGAACTGTGGATATGGAGGGCTGACTGTGAAGTTATATGTGGGTTTTTGACTACACAGGGCCGGGGCAGGGAAGGGGGTAGGTGATGTCTCTGTTGTTCAAGGGTCGCTATAGATATATATATATATATATATATTTTTTTTTAACCAGTTATAACTTTAGGGAGAAAACCAAAGGGACATAGGCTCTAACTCAAGACTTTCCCCTACACTTTCTTATCCTTTGTTTGGGATCATTTTTTATCAACCACAGATGTGTAGTAGGACTCCCTATCTTCTAATTTTTTTTCATGGTGGCTTTTTTTTCCCTTTTTCTAGGTTTTCCACGATGATGATGCCATTCCTGGATGGGAAGGGAAAATTGTGGCCTGGGTAGAAGAAGACCATGGAGAAAATTAATGCTGAGTATTAGATTGGGGACTTGCGGAAGTTGGCACACCCAGGCTGCTTCACTCAGGAAAGAGGACTAAAACCAGAATACACCAGGAAGTTTGTGCTGCCAAAACAGAAGCTTCTCCAAGTGTGACAGCCATAGGCCAGTCCTGTTTGTGTGCCTGGCATGTGTGGTATCTAAAAATCTCTGTCCAAAAGTAGACCATGGGTTCTTCTGGAGTTCCTTGTCCGTGGGAACACACTGTTTTACTCTACTCTGCGGACAACAAACCGAAGGCCTTAACCAACGGGGATGGATGATCCCGCTCCTCTGTGGGCATGGCTGCTATTATCTGGAACCTGGGAACCGGATGCATCACTCCTATGTGTTACAGTATTATTTTCATTTTAATTGGCCTCAGTGGTTGCAGCAATCAGGGTCCCAGCATTTGTACTCACAGACAAGGTGGAGGTACCAGCTTTTTTGCTTCTTTGCAGCTATTGCAAACCAAGAATAACTCAGAAGGTGGTACCAAAGATGAAAGCCCACTCTTCAGGAATTTTTTTGGACTGGACGTGGATGGTGCTGAATTGTTGATTGGATTGAAAAAGGGCTGCCCATATTGTGCTGTACTATGCTAAAACCATAATTAAGACCTTGGGCTGCCTCTTGCGTCTTAACTGATTCTGCAACTTGTCCTTTAGCCCACAGAAGGCATATTTCATGTACTGCTTGTTTTTCTCTGTGAACTCTCTAACTTTAGAGCCATTTCCCCCCCCTTCTAGCTGATGAACTTTGTGTTGGAAAGGAATAAGGAGTGAAAATCTCCTTTCAAATCCAGGCGGGTATGGAAAGGTGCTGCTACCCATATCTTCTTGACTTTCTTTCTCTCATGACTTTTCTTTAGCCCATGGCATCTCCTTTGCAGTCGAAAGGAAACAAACCATTACTTTCAGTGTTTGTGATTTATAAGTACTGAGCATGAGTTACTGGTCTGCCCCTCTTTGATGTCAAGGCCAGAGTTATTTTCTATTATATATTTAGTCTAGGCTGATCCTTTAGGGCACAATAGAAACCATGGGGGCATGAGTTGTGAATGGCAGGGTTGATTCTGGGTGAAAAAAACCTAGAATCCTTTCTCATGTGCAACACTGTCAAGTGTAGAAGCTAAAAGAGTTAAACTTTCAGAGATTACTTAGTATCTTGAGTTTTCTCATTCATTAAACCAATTAGATATATATATATATAATCAGTATAAATATATACTATAAATATATATGTATATCTATATATCAGTCTCCAAAGCAGTCTGCCTGTGATCACCAATGTACACTGCCAAGCAGAAGAGTCAGACAGATCTGGGTTCTTGACCTGTCTGTCTCAAGTTCATCTCCCCTTTTCAGCCATTTCAACAGACTACTTGTTGGAGCTCTGACATGACATTTTGTTGTTTTATATAGATGCGTCTTTTAAAAATAGTTCATGTTTGGAGAATTCTTTTGTACTCATTTGCTTTTTGTCCAAGAACCATGTCTATTTTTATAACTTGAGTGTGAGTTCTATATATTCTCACATTCTGTATACTGTATCCATTTTCTAGGGAACGCAGTAGCTTTTATACAGGCTCTTTTCTTCTTACCAGCCCTTGTGGTTTCAGAACAAGCTTTATTTTATTACAGGTATACTAATGACAACTCCTGTTCCAGTTCTACCAGCCATTTCAGTTGTGGAGTTAGTTTTACAGAACCTCTCGGATGGCTCCTTTGGCTGACAGAAGGAACTCAGAAGACACCTGATGTCTTTCATATAAGTTTACTTGGTTTCCTCCTACTGAAGAATGATTTCTCATCAGAAATGACTGGGACAGTTTGGGAAAGTCAGTTAAAAGCAAGAATAATTCATTACAAAAGCAGACAGAAGAAAACAGTATATTTGCCTTTTTTTCTTTTTTGCCCCCCAGGAAGTCTGGAGGAAAAGTCCTCCCATCACCAGTTTCTTTGTTGCATGAATTTTAGTGTTTTGCTGTAAGACAGCATGAGGGTTATCAGACTAAAATTTGTTATTGTATTTTCAGTACAATTTATCTTGACTGTTAAATCAGTTTTACTTGTCAGTATTCTTTCAGCAAACATTCTTACTATTATGTCAATTTAAATTTTCAGAGGAAATTAAATCAGAGAAAATTTTCAGAGTCTTTTACCTTCTTTGTCTTTTATCTCTGTGTCCTTTAGAAAAGGAGCTGCGTGGCCCTGGTCCCTCCATAGAAAGCTTAAGTTGATTTCCTAGCTCATTAACCTCAGAGACCATGGGTAATAACGAAGCACCCCCATTACAGGATGGCACACCAGTATGTTTTTGTAAAATGTGTTGGTAATCCTCATTCCAGTTTTTAAACAGAGGAGCCTTCTAGGAGGAGTGTGCACTGATTCATTCTGGTTTGAACTGTCTCCTATTTGATATATAGGAGCTTTTGACTTAAAGAGTATTGCCCCCTGCTGGCATTTGTGTTGGGACAGTCCATCCTGCTACTGGTGAAGTTCTTTCTTTGAGAAAACTAAAGAACGAGAAATGTTTAGAGCTCATGAAATAATCTCTAAACCCAATTTAAAAAATGACCCTGTCATAAAAACTAAGTTAATAAAAAGTTCAATTCCTTAAACAGTCTTCATTTAAAAACTGAAGACCATTCTCACTGTTAACTAAAGTAGCTGGAATTGGAAAATTTTACAATTTCGACCTAAAGAATTTAGGTTAAATTTACTTGGTACTGAAATGGCAATCCTACCAATTGACCAACGTCTAAGCTCTTTTTGACCAGGACGGTTGTACATTAAGGAAGATATCTTTATGCCCTATATTCAATCCAAGAGGACTCTAATTACTTAAAACATTTAGATCATAATTATAATAATTTTCATTTTTCCCATAAAATAAGCATTATGATTGCACACTTCTTCTATTGTCTGAATTTATGTAAGAGGGTATAGCTTGCTTAAAATATATATGTAAAGTTATATTTTCTTAGAAACATGGATGTTTGCAACCATTGCTTTTGAAAAGATTACTATCATGTATTGTTTTACGTTTTCATAAAGATTGTGTTATACCAGAGGCTTCTGATTATCAAAGTGATAACCAGTTTTAACTGCCTGTATGTACCAGATTTGTGAACTAGTTTTAAAAAAAAAAAGCAGAAACGAACTATGAATAAAATGGAGCAAACTAAATACCATTCATAATTTTCACTTGTGTTTATTATCAACTGAAATTAATCAAGAAAGCCATTCACATTTAGTGAAAGTAAATTTCCTCAAGTGATCTCCCTGGTAGCATGTTTACTCATTACTTGGGGAGTGGAGATAGGATTACTTTATTGCTGCAGATATTACTACTGGTATTTCTAGTGTAAGTGCAAAATAGGTTATACAATCAAAGAGAATTAATTTATTTAGCACTTCTTCTGACATTTTATGTAAATATACAAACAAGTAAGAGCCCAAGACTCTAAACTATAACAAAACAGTTTCCAATGCAAAAGCAAAAAACACAGGCTTTCAGAAATGTATAAAATAAAAGAACCAGAACTTCCAAATTAATTTGAAAGCTGCTTTCCTAAAACTTAGCCTTTATTTATTATTTTAAAGGTTTTATATATCTAAAGTTTTAGCCCTTGGTGCACTCATTTGCCTTCCAATTACATTATTTTCAACTATTAATCACAAGCCATTTTAATCGGGTTACTCCATCATTATGTTAAATGTGTAAAGAACTTGCACTGCCAACTAATTCCTCTTTACATCTCACCCATTCTATATCAGTAATATTCTACAAGTCTCAGGGGGCTTATTTGACAAACCTAATTATTCCCAGCTTACCTCTGAGGTAAACTAACCACTCCTGGACTGTTTCACCCATGCCCTCCCATGATTTAGCTACACCTGTCAAAAGTATATTCAAAATGTGAACTTGCTATGCAAAGAAAAATGAAAAAATTTTAAGTAAAAATTTAAGCTTAAGTAAGGCTACCTAAGTAACTGAACAACAAACTGAAGATCATCTCATACAAAGGCTAACTTAAAGTAATTTAGAACCAGTTATTAAATTCTGAGTGGAAATACTGTAGTAAGGTATCTTAGCCAATTCAAAATTGTTAAAACATTTAAATAATTTATAGTCTAAGCCCTTTCACTAATCACAATTATTCTTCCATTATTTCTTCCAATTGCTATTTGTAAGTAGTTTTACATAATTGTTAACAATATAATTGCTCCACTTTTAATATTATTTCAAGTATGCCTTTCCATTTAATCTGGGAATTCTGTTTCTCAGTTGTACTCCCTGCATATTATTCTGTTAGACAGCTGTACTTGTTTAATCTTTTCCTCATTTTTGGATAGTTAAGATTTTTCCAATTCTTTTTGTTATATAGTAAAAAAAATTTTTTTAACTTAAAGTTTCCAATTTAAGTAGGTATGAAATAGTGCCTTCTAGCTGCCTTATTTTTCCAAACGTTTAATTACCTGCAAAGTTGAACATGTTTTCAAATGTTGGTTTTCTTATGTTCTTGATGTTCTCTGACCATCTGTATATTGGGGACTTACGAGATGTAAATACAGCACGCGTTTCCTTCTAGTCTAATGCCACCCTCAGCTCCGAAATGAGATTATTTTCCAATTATAGGATGATAACCCGGCAGTAGAAGTGTAACAAATGTAACTGGAAAGGATTCTATGGCAAATTAAAATCGGAAATCTGTTTTGTAAACTTTTTTTCTTCAGAGTAGATGCTTAATCCTGCTATAGCACTCTTAAATGTGGGGATATAGCTTCCATTCAGCTGCCCTTCACACCATTTGACTGGAAAACCTATTCATCCCGTTTCCTGTTGGGCTACAAACCTGAACTTGAATCTTTATCACCCAGTACAGCCTGCGCGGAGCGAGACCCCAAACCTGGGGGCCACAGGGTGTGCTGAGGCTGGGGGCGCGCCCGGCGAGCAGAGATGCCCCCGCGGACGGCCTTCCGCCGGAGCGCCTAGACCCGTCCCTCGGCCGCAGGCTCCCGGTGCCCGGCTGGGCCTGGAGCCCCCTCCCATCCTTCCTCAGGGCGAGGCCACGCCCCTCAGCCCACCTATCACCTCCCGCAGTCCCGCTCTCACCGCCTTTTTAGGCCCCTCCCTTTCGACCGCGCCCGTCACGGCGCTCAGGTCCTGTCCCCCCGCCCAGGGAAGGCTTCGCCACCGAGCCCACCACCTTCCACTCCTCCCCACGCCTAATCCTCCCAGATTCGGCCTGCTGGAATGCCCCTGCCCCTCGTCGCTCTATAGTAGCCGCCCCGACCCGCACTGGGTCACCCTAAGCCCCTCATTTCCCGGAGGAAGACCCGACGTTCACCGCTTCTCCGGTCCGCGGAGCGGGTGGGGCGAGGCTTCGCAGCCCATTTTACGACAACTTGCGGCCGCGCGGCGCGGCTGACGGCAACGCCGCGCTGCTCTTGGAGAGGTCACTCCGGAGACGGCGTTGGTTTTGGGGTGTGGGGTCCGTGGCACTATGTGGCGCGTCTGTGCGCGACGGGCTCAGAATGCAGCCCCCCGGGCGGGATTCGGGGCTCGGTGGACGGCCTTTCGGGAGGAGCCGGGAGCTCCGTGCGTGACCCCGCAGGCTGGCTCGGCTCTGGCTCGCTGCAGCAGCAAGACCCCAGGGTATGGCAGGGTCCGGGCACTCTGCGGCTGGAGCCCCGTCTCTTGGGCCACACCGCGGAATCGCGTCTTGTTGCAGCTCTGGGGATCGCCTAGCCGCCGCTGGTATAGCCTGCCCCCGCATCAGAAGGTAAGCCCCGGAACCTGTCCTTCGCGGGATCCCGTTGTCCTTCACGGCAGACTTCTTGGCTTGGGATCCTTCCTTAGAGGCCTTGGTGATCCTCAGCCTCTGCCCCCCTCCGGGTATACTCTGTCAGTGTCCCTTCTCCATTACCCAGCTTTGCTCTAGCTCTTGAACTTCCCTCTCCTGACCTATTCCATTGAAGAAGGAGCTGCAGGCTTCCTTCTCCTGACCGGTTCCATTCAAAGAAGAGCGCCAAGCCTAGGACGGTCTGTGGAATGTCTGCTGAGGACATGCTGTTAGACCCAACCAGTACACTGGAGCGGGAGGCCTGTCCTTCTGGTTGAGAGCTTCTGATGTTAGGAAATCCCTTTATAAGCCCATTGCCCAATGTGTGAAGGGACTCAGACTCAGCGTTAAATTAGTCTGAATTGAACGAAGTGTTACACCAGATTGAGAGTTAGGTAGCTCTTAAAATTGAGTATTTCTCCCTTTTCTCCTCTAGGTTCCATTGCCTTCACTGTCCCCTACAATGCAGGCAGGCACCATAGCCCGCTGGGAAAAGAAGGAAGGAGAAAAAATCAATGAGGGTGAACTAATTGCAGAGGTAAGTTGGAAATGAGTTAGAAGAGACTAGCTTAGCTAAACGGAGCATTAACTATCTGAGTGGGTAATTATCCCTTTTGCCTGGAGAATTCTGTGGACAGAGGAGCCTGGTGGGCTGCTGTCCATGGGGTCGCAAAGAGTCGGACACGACTGAAGTGACTTAGCATGCATGCATTAAGAAATTTAGATGTTTTTTACAATTTGATATGAGAGATTGGTTAGCCAAGTTAGCAGCAGCTAACCAAACTGGTTTTTAGCCTGGGTGTTTTTAATAGGAATTCTTTCAAACCTGTGATAGAGGCTTTCACTGTTGAAGTGTATGATTTTTTTTTATTGCTGTATGATTGATTTATGATGTTGTGTTAAATACTCTTTTCCATTATGGTTTATCACAGATGCCAAATGTAGTTCCCTGTGCTATATAGTAGGACCATGTGGCTATCCATTCAATATGTAATAGTTTGCATCTGCAAACCCCAAAATCCTACTCTGTTCCATCCCTGCCCCACCCCCCAGTCACAAGTCTATTCTCTGTGAGTTCATTTCTATTTCGTAGATAAGTTCATTTGTGCCATTTTAGATTCCACATATTTTTCTTTTTCTGACTTATTTGAACTGTGTGATTTTAGACACAAGTTAATAAACTTCATACTGGCAGCAGAAGCCTAAGTTCCTGCTTTTGTGTTAAAAGGTTGAAACTGATAAAGCTACTGTTGGATTTGAGAGTGTGGAGGAGTGTTACATGGCAAAGATCCTTGTTGCTGAAGGTACCAGAGATGTTCCAGTTGGAGCAATCATCTGTATCACAGTTGAAAAGTGAGTAGTACCGGGGGAATCTGTGAAAGTCAGGTGCTCAAGTGGAGTATTTTAGCCCAGAACTGAGGAGTTAGTTAAAGGCTTCTAAGGCTGATAAATCCGCTTTGTAACCCCCTTATACTTACGCATTCTTTCTCTTCCTTAGGCCTGAAGATGTTGAAGCCTTTAGAAATTACACACTGGATTCTTCAGCAGCACCTGCCCCACAAGCAGCCCCGGCGCCAGCCCCTGCCGCTGCCGCTCCGTCCCCTGCACCTTCTGCTCAGGCCCCTGGTAGCTCGTATCCTACTCACATGCAGGTGAGCCTCAGCCTCTGGGTGCCTGCTCTAGAAGATTTATTATTTACTCATTATTTTTCAAAGATGAGTCGCATCTTGGAAACTGGCATTAAACCTGGCTAGTTTTTGTCATCTGAAAGTAAACAGATTTCAATATGAAAATTGACAACATTTATTTATTTATTTAAAAAAAAATTTTTTTTTCCATTTATTTTTATTAGTTGGAGGCTAATTACTTTACATCATTGCAGTGGTTTTTGTCATACATTGAAATGACTTAGCCATGGATTTACATGTATTCCCCGTCCCGGTCCCCCCTCCCACCTCCCTCTCCACCCGATCCCTCTGGGTCTTCTCAGTGTACCAGGCCCGAGCACTGACAACATTTATTTTTAATGGTTATTTCCAGATGTGTGTGCTTGGAGAGTTCTTTTAATCTTTTTTTTGCCTCAGTGTAGGAAAATGTTTGGTACTTTTCATTCAAGAATATCATGTCGGATTTTGAGGATTGTTTGTACTTATATCTGTACTTTGCTAAGTCGCTTCAGTTGTGTCTGATTCTGTGACGCTATGGACTGTAGCCCACCAGGCTCTTCTGTCCATGGGATTCTCCAGGCAGGAGTACTGGAATGGGTTGCCATGTCCTCCTCCAGGGGATCTTCCCAACCCAGGGATCGAACCTGTGTCTCTTATGTCTCCTGCATTGGCAGGCAGGTTCTTTACCACTAGCACCACCTGGGAAACCCACTTATATCTACTCCCTGTATAAATAGAGTTTGTTTTTTTTTTTTTTTTTTTAGTAGGCACCAAGTGCTATCTATTGAATAAAAGCCCCCAATTAGTGTTTTTCCTTGACATGTAGTGTTCTGTTTTCTCAGAGTAAGTGAAATAATCCAGTAGTATTTAGAAAAGACTAACAATAAAGAATTGGAGAAGGCAGTGGCACCCCACTCCAGTACTCTTGCCTGGAAAATCCCATGGACGGAGGAGCCTGGTAGGCTGCAGTCCATAGGGTCGCTAAGAGTCGGACACGACTGAGCGACTTCACTTTCATGCATTGGAGAAGGAAATGGCAACCCACTCCAGTATTCTTGCCTGGAGAATCCCAGGGATGGGGGAGCCTGGTGGGCTACTGTCTGTGGGGTTGCACAGAGTTGGACAAGACTGAAGGGACTTAGCAGCAACAATAAAGAATAAGTGTCAAATAGATATATATAATGTGGAAGAGGGCATGGTAATCTACTCCAGTATTCCTCCCTGGAGAATCCCCATGGACAGAGGGACATGGAGGGCTAGTCCATGGGGTCTCAAAGAGTCAGACACGACTGAGCGATTCAGCACAGACATATATAATAGCATTACAGCAAAGCTGAAGGTGGTAAATACTGTTGATTCTGTTAACTAAATCAGTTTCTAAGAAACTGATTAGTTATTAGATATTAGGATTATCCCATGTATATTTGTGTGTTTTGGATATTGGAAATGGATAAAAGCCAGCTGCGTTTTTTTCCTAAAGGATTAAGAATAGAACTTTTCCTTCTCTTAGTTTATTTGTAGAGATTTTTGTATAGGAATAATTTTCTTCTTTGGGCATCATGTTCTATTTCCTGGTCTTTTATTAACATTCACTCATGATGAAATTTTTCCTGGTGGTCAGTTCACAGATCTATTCCATCCTATTCAGCAAATTTTTTTTTTTAATTAAAAAAAAGTTACAAAAATTTTTTTTGGCTGGGTTGGGTTTTCATTGCCACGAGAAGGCTTTCTCTAATTGTGGTGAGCGGGGGCTACTCTCTTGTTGCGGTGCTTGGACTTCTCGCTGTGATGACCTCTCTTGTTGCAGAGCATGAGCTCTAGGTACATGAGCTTCAGTAGTTGCCCCTCGAGGGCTCTAGGGCCTGGGCTCAGTCATTGTGGCACATGGGATTCGTTGCCCCAAGGCATGTGGGATCTTCTCAGACCAGGGATCAAAGCTGTGTCCTCTGAATTGGCAGGCCAGTTCCTAACCGTTGGATCACCAGGGAAGGTCAAGAGTTCTAAGTTTTGTTTTACTTTTTCCCCCTACAGCTTCCTGAGACATCATCGAATAAAATGATTTTTCTCTCAGCATAATTCTTATGTTAATTAGATGCAAAAGACTAAGAAGATAGCAAACAAAACTCATAACTGAGTGAGCATCCAAATTCAGTGAATGTATAAGCCATATAAATAGGGAAGCAGTCTTTAATTTAGATTAGCCAATCTGTTGTTTTAGACTTTACTTGGGTGGAAGTGACTATTGTTAAGAACAGGTTTTTGTTGTTGTTTTGGGTTTGTTTTTTTTCAGCCATGCCATATGGCATTCAGGATCTTAGTTCCCCATACAGGGATTAACCTGTGCCCTGCTGCATTGGGAGCACAGAGTCTAAACCACTGGGCCACCAGGGATGTCCCAAACAATTCTTGATATTAGTTTTTTATCTTGAAAAAGTTCCTGGGAGGGACTTCCCTAATGGTCCACTGGTTAAGAATCTGCCTGCAGGGGTCACAGGTTCAATCCCTGGTCTGGGAAGATGCTCACATGCTGAAGAGCAATTGAATGCAAGTGCCACAACTCCTGAGCTTGTGCTCTCGAAGCCACCAGCCCCAACTACTGAGCCTGCGTGCCTTGAGCCCATGCTCTGCAACAAGAGGAAGCTCTCCAATGGGAAGCCTGTGCACCGTAGCTGGAGCATAGCACCTGCTCACTGCAACTAGAGAAAGCCCGTGTACAGCAATGAAGACCCCGTTCAGCCAAAAATAAATAATTAAAATTTTAAAAAGGTATCCAGGGAGTTTGGGAGAAATTCAGTCTCCTCTGAATGAAAAGGTAGATTTCAATAAAGCACACAGTAAAATTTTAGTGGAAAAATCTGGACTGAGTTCATTCTCTGAAGATGAAAAGCCTCTAGCTTAATTTAAGTGTTAAGAAAGATGAGAAGATGTTTTGTGTTTAGATATTGTTGAGGAATTAATTTTAGCCATCTAGAAAGAAATCTTTCCCCTCTGCCCATGGTTTTTAACTTTGGAGGGTGGGTCAGAGTATCATTGGCACTATAAAAGCTTGAGCTTTGAAGGATTTACCTGTAGGGACACTACTGAGGCACAAGGCTTTTGCTGCTGTGGGTGCAGCAGGCAGATGGGAATTTGGATTGTCATAGTTGCTGTCATTCCATAAAACTATTTGCTTGCCTGAGTGCCATTGTGTCAAAAGCTTCCTGGTGTTGAGTAATAATAAAATGTGTTTGTTTCTACAGGTGGTTCTTCCTGCCCTCTCTCCCACCATGACCATGGGCACAGTTCAGAGATGGGAAAAAAAAGTGGGTGAGAAGCTAAATGAAGGAGATTTATTGGCAGAGATAGAGACTGACAAGGCCACTATAGGTGAGATTTCTTCAGCTCTTAATGGTTGAGACACTGAGTTTTCCAGTGAGGGAAGAGGATTGCCAACCTATCCTATAATGAGTGAGTGATAACATGAAAAATTTTAATTCTTGGGATTAATTTCCTGGAACAGAGTGTTTTCATAAACAGAAGTGTTGCATAGTTGGATCTGTCGGTTCCATACTACACTCTCATTGAATCAAGCATGTATTAGCTTGGAGATAATTTTTAGGCCAGAGTTTGCGTATTAAGCCTTATGTTACTGAGAAGCTGTATCCAAACTGACATTCTTCACACTGGGCAAGGGGAAAAAAAGAGGAAGTAGAAAATAGCATCAAAGGCAGGAAAATCCTGAAGAAATCCAGATGACTTTGAGGGAAAACTTGAAAGTAGGGCTTAGATTGTTTTTGTATATGAGAATGACTGATGAAATGTATATATTACCTGTTCAGATACCATATCACATTTCCTTTTATTGACTATCTGATTTATTTTTATGCTCAGAAAAAAAAAAACACCTGTAGACAATTAATATTTGCCATACTGTATCTGGATATCTGTAGATAAATATATATTTTTTCTGTCCAGTCCTCAAAGATGGAGTAGGAGCTTCTGGGCATCCTTTGCAGCGGTCTTTTTCAGATTTTGTTCTTCACACCTCATGATTCCTTGATAGCGCCTTGGGGTAAAGGAGACTTAGAGAGCCAGACTCTACTGTTCATTGCTCCCCTCCTTCACTTATGACTCTGTTTTATCTTTTAGCATATAGTGCTTCCCCCCATAAAATTTTATTAGAGCAAAGCGTTCTTGTTTGTTTGTTTGTTTTTTGACTGCCCGGGTCTTTGTTGCAGAGCTCAGGCTTGTTTCAGAGTATGGACTCTAGAGCTCACGGGCTCAGCAGTTGCAGTGGCAGGCTTAGTTGCTCTGTGGCATGTGGGATCTTAGTTTCCTGACCAGAGATCGAACCCATGTCCCCTGCTTTGGAAGACAGATTGTTAACCACTGGACCACCAGGGAAGTCCCTATTCTGTTTGTTAAAAAGGTTGTTAAGAAGAAAGAAACAGAAAAGCCCTGGCAAAGATAGATCTGCTTTGCATTTTAACTTGATTACCTGTGTTGCTGTGAAGAGTGGTATTCTAGAAACTGGTCACTGGAGAAGTATTAACCTTGGTCAAACTCTAAACTCTGTAGTGGCCTTGGAGCCTTTTCTTTTGATATGTCTTGTATTGGATATTAATTCTCAGCTGGGAAATAAAAGGATTCATCAAAGATGTGTTCGTCAGGGAGAGGCACATCCCAATAGGAAGCTAAGGTCTAGAAGGCAAAAGATGTCCTCTGCAGTGGCTCCTTTTAGTTTTACTTTTGGAATCCTTCGTATTTGAGTTCCTTATAAAAAAAAAAGCAGTAGCTGGGAATTCCCTGGTGGTCCAGTGGTTAGGACTTCACGGTTTCCCTGCCGAGGGCCCGGGGTTCAATCCCTTGTGGGGAAACTGAGATCCCACAAGCTACATGGTGCAGCCAAAGGGAAAAGCAGTCGCTGAGTAAAGCTGTCAACACCACTGGCTCTCTAGTAATGCTGTGTTTCTTCATACTGAAATAGTTGGTGTAATACCAAGTATGCCCTCTTCAAAAAAGTTCCAAAGATGCAGCACTATCAACTGTAGTAGCTCTTCTAATTTAACAACCATGTGGTTCTCTTCTTGAGCAGTACAACTGATGCCATCTTGGGAGACTTGTGGGTCTGCATAGGGCTGCCCTTGGAGATGTTTTAAAGAAAACATTCAGAACTAACCACTGTGTAACCTCTTGGGGTTTTACTTAGCAAATATTTATTAGTATTTACTTTGTGAAGTGAAGTTGCTCAGTCATGTCTGACTCGTTGCGACCTCATGGACTGTAGCCTACCAGGCTCCTCTGTCCATGGGATTTTCCAGGCAAGAGTTCTGGAGTGGTTTGCCATTTCCTTCTTCAGGGGATCTTCCATCCCAGGGATCGAACCTGGGTCTCCCGCATTGTAGGCAGATGCTTTACTGTCTGAGCCACCAGTAGGTACTATTTCCAAGTGTTTGGAAGATATTAATTCACTTAACTTTTGTAATAGCCCTGTGAGGTAGGTACTGTTGTTCCCATTTTGTAGGTAAAGAGGCTGAGACACAGGTTAAATAGCTCGCAAAAGGTTATATAGCTACTTTGAAGAACCTTTTACTTGAAAACTGTGCTTTGAATTTGGTAGGCTAGTAAAGGCCTTTAAGTTCCACAGTGGTTTTTTCTTTCCATTTAAGGTTTTGAAGTACAGGAGGAAGGTTACCTCGCAAAAATCCTGATCCCAGAAGGCACACGCGATGTCCCTCTAGGAGCCCCGCTCTGTATCATTGTAGAGAGAGAGGCAGATATACCCGCGTTTGCTGACTACCGGCCCACTGAAGTAACTGATTTAAAACCAGCAGCACCACCACCTATCCCATCTCCGGTAGGTATGCTTCTAGAATTGAGGGAACGCTTACCTTATTCATCTCAAAATTAAGGGGTGATATTCTGGGTTCCTTCCAGTGCTAAGAGTCTGTGACTCAGGAAGGAGATAGTTAACATTTATGGAGGTTTACAAGGTGCATAGGACTGCACTGTTCACATACTGGTCAATAGTTTGATTCTTGTAATTTTTCTTTTTCCTGCTTTCTTGAGTCTTGTTGAGAACAAAGCTGAGGTGACTTGTTCTTTTTATGCTTTAGGTGTAGATACACATATGGAAGGTAATGCTTTGTCACCCGTTTTCTATAGAATTTGTAGTTTTTGTCAGTCCTCTTGGTATTCACATATTATACTAGGTCAAGGTTATATTTGTAACACATGGGAATCTTGACATAAATGGCTTATTTTGCGTAGAATTTAGCCTTTTGTTATATACTATATACCAGGGTTTCCCTCGTAGCTCAGTCAATAAAGAATCGGCCTGCAATGCAGGAGACCTGGGTTTGATTCCTGGCTCAGAAAGATCCCCTGGAGAAGGAAATGGCAACCCCTTTCAGTATTCTTGCCTGGAGAATCCCATGGACAGAGGAGTCTGACAGGCTACAGTCCATGGGGTCTCAAGGGTCGGACATGACTTAGTGACTAAACCACCACCATATGCTATATACCTAGTAACATGAACTCATGAATTCCAGGCAGAAATAACACTATAAGGCTTCTGCAGGTGTAGAGACATGTGAGTTTAGACTAGGTACACGGTTCTGCCAGAGAAAACTTTGATTTCTTACTTCCATACATTTATGGGGAGCTGGCAAGTAGTAGTATTGGCTTATTTTTTTAATGTGTTTTCAACATGGAACCTTCCAGAATAATTTATTATTTTGGAAGTAGGTTAAGCAAAAACCATGTAGGTGATATAAGAGAATGAGAACAAAAAAGGGACAAGAAAATAGAGACAAGAGATTAAAGTGAAGAAAGGCTATAAGGATGTTATATACTGGTCACCAGAATTAAATTCAGTGCCTCTCTGTATTAATCATGGAGTTAGAGAACTTGACTTTGTTCTGTCTTTGTTAAAATAATGTTATTGTATTCATATTGCTGTATTATGTTGGTTAAGCAAGAAAAATGAGCATTTGACCTTTGGAAAAAAGATGAAAGTTATATTATTAAAATAGGTTTGACTTAATAAACTATAAGCTGTTAATCTTTCAGGTCAGTGTTTGCAGTGGTGAATTAACAATTTGTAACTTTTTTCAAAAGGCAGCCCCTGTTCCCCCAACGCCCCAACCTGTAGCCCCTCCACCTTCAGCCCCCCGGCCAGTTGCTCCAGCTGGACCAAAGGGAAGAGTGTTCGCCAGCCCACTTGCAAAGAAGTTGGCAGCAGAGAAAGGGATTGACCTTACACAAGTAAAAGGTATGTCTGTTTCTATGGAATGGAGTTTTACTAAAATTGAGTTTCCTCCTTATAACCAGAGAGTACAACTGCAACTATTAATATATAGAGCTGTCTTATCTGGGAAAGTAGGGAGAAGGATGAGGGAGGGAACTAGCAGAGTAGGAAAACTTATTGTGCTTTACTTGGTCTGTCTAAGATCTACCTGTATAATTTAGATAGCTTTTTTCATTTTCTATTAATGGGAACTGCTTAATTGTTGGTGAAAATATGATGTGTTCAGCAAAGTTGGGTTATAGTACTTGATTATGTAATAAGAAATCTGTATTAGTGCTAGGCTGAGTGAATGTAGCAATACTCAAAACACAACATGAAGTTGGGATGATTTGAAATGACTTAAAATAATAAAATTCATATAAAACTGAACTAACACCTATTGAGGGCAAAGGAAAATGTCTTACTCATCTTTTCCCTCCCAAAGAGAACGTGTAGCTTAGTGATGAGAGCATGGGCTCTTGAATCAGACCATCTAGGGTTTAATCCTGGCTTTATCACTTTCTATGTAAAATGTCTTTTGATGAATTACTTTATCTGTTTTTCCATCTGTAAAACTGAGATAATAGTTTCCAATAAAGTAAGTGAAGGGCTTAGAACAGTATCTAGAACATAGTAATACTCCATACATATTAATTTTGTTCACATTATTATTATTGGCTGGCATCTAAATGTTTTAAGCTAAAATTTAATGTAAGGTAGTTAATACACTTTAGAAAGGGGTGGGAGGAGTTACTATTCCTGGAGCTTGGTTCCGTGGCTAGTACTCTGTGCCAGTCATTTAATTACCAGACTTAATTTGCATAACACTTGAACTTTGGATAGGAAAACAGACTCTTGAAAGATCTCTTATTCTGTTAAGCAATGAAGTTGCGATTTGAATCTAGATTTGTTTCATTTTAGAATCTGTATTTTTCCCATTACCCTATACTTCCTTCTGTTTTGATGTTCTGCCGTCTTTAATTATTCAAAATAATGGCTACTTCTCCAGTTATCCAGCTATGAGCAAACATCATTGGTTATCACTGTCCGGAGCCTGTTGTTGTTATGGTTTGAAAGCAAGCCAGTTGCCAAAGATACGGGGACAGAAGTTATCACTGTTTTACCTCAGAGAATTCTTGTGAAAAGATCCTTTTTTCCATCTTAATGTCGTTTCACTAACATATTGCCATTCTTCATGTATGTATGATTAGGGATAGCAATTTAAGTTGGGAAACATTTTTAAGGGGAGGAAGGACTGGGTTAATAATTATATCTGAAGAATTAAACAAGTAAATGAGGACCATTTGTTGGATATTGAGTGATACTCGCTGTCTTAGGAAATATTTATGTGGAAAAAAATCTCAGTATTCTTATGCAGTTAGAGTTAAGTGATTCATTTATTTAAACAAATATTCATTGAGTACTGTCTGTGCATCCAACACTTGTTCATGGGACAGACAATAAAGAAGTGAATGGAGGGGGATTATAACACAGTAGTTACGAGTATTGGCTTTAGAGCTGGAATGCTTAGATTTAAACACCAGCTCTGTCGAACACTAGGTGTGTTCCCTTTGCTGTCTCAGTTTCTTTATTTGTATATAGAAATAAAACTTTATAGCTTGTTGGGATTAAATACGTTAGTAACAGTGCCTGTATGTAGGAAGCAAATATAGGTAATTAATTAGCTATGGTGGTAATAATAGCTTATTAAATAATATGACTTGAATGCTAACAGATAAGTAAACCAAGTGTTATGCTGGTGAGTAACAAACAGGGGACCTCTGTGTCATGGGTTTCCCGGGTGGCACAGTGGTAAAGAGTTTGCCTGCCAGTATAGGAGACACGGATTCGATCCTTGGGTCAGGACGGTCCCCTGGAATAGGAAATGGCAGCCCACTCCAGGATTCTTGCCTGCACAGTTTCATGGCCAGAGGATCCTGATAGTCCATGGGGTCACAAGGAGTCAGACACGACTGAGCGACTCAGCACAGCACACGCATGCATGCATGACCACTTTTGGACAGGATGGTTGGGGAAGATCTTTTTGATGAGGTGAAATTTGATCTGATCTGAAAGATGAGGAGGAGTCAGCTATGAGCCAACCATGTGAAGAACCACAGGAGAAGCATTCTGGGCAAAGACCAGCCTGAAGGGGAGAGAGTTTGGTGTGTTTGAGGCAAAGAAAGGAAGCCAGTGTTAATGGAGCATAGTGAGCAAAGTGGTAGGGAATGAGGACAGAAAGAAACTCAGGGGTAAGAACATAAAAGACTTTACAGGTTATGATGGAGTTTGAATTTTATTTCAAGTAGAGCAGGAAGCCATTGAAAGATTAAAATGAAGTGGCATAAAATCATTTATATTTTTAAAAGATTGTTTTGGCTGCTCTGTGCAAATGGATTAAATGAAAGCAAAAGTGTCTGTTAAGATGTTGCTGGAGTCGGTGGTTTACACAAAGGTGATGAGAATAGAAATGGAAAGAAATGGGCAGCATCAACATAACGTTTGTGGCAGAATCAACAGAACTTAGTCAAGTATTGGATATGAGGACTCAACAATAGCAACTTCAAAAGATACATGCAGTGACAGTTTAAACAGGGTGAAAAGTGAATGAAAAAGTGGAGATAGCATTGTTGACAACTTAGTCAAGAGCTTTTGCTGTGAAGGAAGGCACAGAAATAGAAATGTACCTTTTGGGAGGATATGGGCTCAAGAAAGGGCTTTAGAAAATGAGTGGTGGTAGAACAGGCCTAGTGTAGTTTCTCAGCTGTGGCACTGCTGACATTTTTGACCAGGTAATTCTTTGTGTGCTTCTCTGGTAGCAAACCACTTCAGTATTCTTGCTTTGAGAACCCTGTGAACAGTATGAAAAGGCAAAAAGATAGGACCCTGAAAGATGAACTTTCCAGGTCGGTAGGTGCCCAGTATGCTACTGGAGATCAGTGGAGACCTAACTCCAGGAAGAATGAGGTGATAGAGCTAAAGCAAAAACAACGCCCAGCTGTGGATGTGACAGGTGATGGAAGTAAAGTCCGATGCTGTAAAGAGCAATATTGCATGGGTACCTGGAATATTAGGTCTGTGAATCAAGGCAAATTGGAGGTGGTCAAACAGGAGATGGCAAGAGTGAACATTGACATTTTAGGAATCAGCAAACTAAAATGGACTGGAATGGATGAATTTAACTCAGATGACCATTATATCTACTACTGTGGGCAAGAATCCCTTAGAGGAGATGGAGTAGCCATCATAGTCAACAAAAGAGTTCAAAATGCAGTACTTGGATGCAATCTCAAAAACGACAGAATGATCTCTGTTCGTTTCCAAGGCAAACCATTCAATATCACAGTATCCAACTCTGTGCCCCAACCAATAATGCTGAAGAAGCTGCAGTTGAACAATTCTATGAAGACCTACAAACCTTCTAGAACTAACACCCCAAAAAGATGTCCTTTTCTTTATAGGGGACTGGAATGCAAAAGTGGGAAGTCAAGAAATACCTGGAGTAATGGGCAAATTTGGCCTTGGAGTATGGAATGAAGCAGGGCAAAGGCTAATAGAGTTTTGCCAAGAGAATGCACTGGTCATAGCAAACACCCTCTTGCAACAGCACAAGAGAAGACCCTACAAATCGATACCACCAGATGGTCAATACCAAAATCAGATTGATTATATTCTTCGCAGGCAAAGATGGAGAAGCTCTATATAATCAGAAAAAACAAGACCAGGAGCTGACTGTGGCTCAGATCATGAACTCCTTATTGCCAAATTCAGACTTAAATTGAAAAAGGAGGGAAAACCACTAGACCATTCAGGTATGACCTAAATCAAATCCCTTACACCTATACAGTGGAAATGACAAATAGATTCAAGGGATTAGATCTGATAGACAGAGTGCCTGAGGAACTATAGATGGAGGTTTGTGACATTGTACAGCAGGCATTGATCAAGACCATCCCCAAGAAAAAGAAATGCAAAAAGGCAAAATGGTTGTCTGAGGAGGCCTTACAAACAGCTATGATAAGAAGAGAAGTGAAAAGCAAAGAAAAAAAGGAAAGATATACCCATCTGAATGCAGAGTTCCAAAGAATAGCAAGGAGAGATAAGAAAGCCTTCCTCAGTGATCAGTGCGGAGAAACAGAGGAAATCAATAGAATGGGAAAGACTAGAGATCTCTTCAAAATTAGAGATACCAAGGGAACTTTTTATGCAAAGATGGGCACAATAGAGAATAGAAATGGTGTGGACCTAACAGAAGCAAACGATATTAAGAAGAGGTGGCACGAATACACAGAACCATACAAAAAAGATCTTCATGACCCAGATAATCATGATGGTGTGATCACTCACCTAGAGCCAGACATCCTGGAATGTGAAGTCAAGTCGGCCTTAGGAAGCATTGCTATGAACAAAGCTAGTGGAGGTGATGGAAATCCAGTTGAGCTATTTTAAATCCTAAAAGATGATGTGGTGAGAGTGCTGCACTAAATATGCCAGCAAATTTGGAAAACTGAGCAGTGGCCACAGGACTGGAAAAGGTCATTTTCATTCCAATCCCAAAGAAAGGCAATCCCAAAGAATGCTCAAACTACTGCACAACTGCACTCACTTCACACGCTAGTAAAGTAATGCTCAAAATTCTTCAAGCCAGGCTTCAACAGTATGTGAACCATGAACTTCCAGATGTTCAAGCTGGATTTAGAAAAGGTAGAGGAACCAGAGATCAAATTGCCAACATCTTTTGGATCACAGAAAAAGCCAGAGGATTCCAGAAGAATATCTTATTTCTGCTTCATTACTACTCTAAAGCCTTTGTGCAGATCATAACATACTGTGGAAAATTCTGAAAGAGATGGGATTACCAGACCACCTGACCTGCCTCCTGAGAAATCTGTATGCAGGTCAGGAAGCAACAGTTAGAACCAGACATGGATCAACAGACTGGCTGCATATCAGTACAGGAGTATGTCAGGGCTGTATATTATCACCCTGCTTATTTAATTGGTATGCAGAGTACATCATGCGAAATGTTGGACTGGATGAAGGACAAGCTGGAATCAAGATTGCTGGGAGAAATATCAGTAACCTCAGATACACAGATGACACTACCCTTATGGCAGAAAGTGAAGAACTAAAGAGCCTCTTGATGAAAGTGAAAGAAGAGAGTGAGAAGCTGGCTTAAAATTCAACATTCAGAAAACTAAGATCATGGCATCTGGTCCCATCACTTCATGGCAAATAGATGGGGAAACAGTGGAAACAGTGACAGACTTTATTTTTTGGGGCTCCAGAATCACTGCAGGTGGTGACAGCAGCCATGAAATTAAAAGACGCTTGCTTCTTGGAAGAAAAGTTATGACCAACCTAGACAGCTTATTAAAAAGCAGAGACAGTACTTGGCCAAGAGAGGTTCATCTAATGAAAGCTATGGTTTTTCCAGTAGTCATGTATGGATGTGAGAGTTGCACTACAAAGAAAGCTGAGCACTGAAGAATTGATGCTTTTGAACTGTGGTATTGGAGAAGACTCTTGAGAGTCCCTTGAACTGCAAGGAGATCCAACCAGTCCATCCTAAAGGAAATCAGTCCTGAATATTCATTGGAAGGACTGATGCTAAAGCTGAAACTCCAATACTTTGGCCACCTGATGCAAAGAACTGACTCATTGGAAAAGATCCTGATTCTGGGAAAGATTGAAGGCAGGAGGAGAAGGGAACGACAGAGGATGAGATGGTTGGATGGCATCACCGACTCGGTGAACATGAGTTTGAGTAAACTCTGGGAGTTGGTGATGGATAGGGAGGCCTGGTGTGCTGTGGTCCATGGGTTCGCAAAGAGTTGGACATGAGTGAGTAACTGAACTGAACTGGTGACTCAGTGGTAAAATATCCACCTGCCAGTGCAGGAGACACGGTTGCAATCCCTGGGTCAGGAAGATCCTCTGGAGAAGGAAATGACAATACACTCTAGTATTCTTACCTGGGAAATCCTATGGACAGAAGAGCCTGGCGTGCTGCAGTTCATCGGGTGGCAGAAGAGTTAGACGTGACTTAGTGACTGAATAACAGTTCTTGGTGGAGTGAGGGTGGGGTTCCTCTGCATTGTAGCATGTTAGTAGCATCCTTGGCTTTACTCGCTACAGGGTAGTAGCATCCCCCACTTGTAACAACTAAAAAACATTTCAAACATTGTCAGATGCCCCCCTGGCAAAACTGCAAAATTGCCTTGTTGAGAACCAGTGGTCTAATTGAAAGGGATAAATTGATGATGCAGAATAATTTGGCAAGGAACAAAGTTCTGAGAATGCAAAAGGGGATGAGATTGCTCTCGGGTAGGTATTAGGACAGTTTGTCTGTTTTTATTGGAGGGAAGAGGATATGGGGTGGTTTTATAGTTTTGGTGGCAACAGATGAGGATGAACCTCTCTGGTTGCTGCTATTTGTTCAGTAAAATATAAAGTGAGCAAGGAGTTCCCTGGTGGTTTAGTGGGTAGGACTTAGTGCTTTCACTACTGTGGCCTGAGTTCAGTCCTTGGTTGGGGAACAGATCCTGCAAGCTGCTCAGCATGGCCGAAAAAGTATCAAATGAGGTGACCTGCTGTAGAGTGGGAAGGTTCGAGGTTAGAGAGACTGTGAAATACTGTTCTCAGAGATTGTGAAAGTGACTTCAGGAGAAACAGTTTATCTTCTGGGTAGTTTTGTGAGTCTGTTTTAGATTTATGTCTCTGATTTATAGTGAGGTCAGTCAGCTAGGTGTGTACTTCCTTCTCCCAGCAATATTAAGCTACTCTGATGCTGGCACTGAGAAGGCCTGTGTTACAGAGCTTGCCCGGACAGTGATGGTAACAATGATCCATAGCGTGTAGCCTGGGTGAGGAGGACGTGAAGACAGGAGGCTGACAACAGATGATGAGAGTGGAGGAGTCAGTCTTGATGAAGTGGAAGAAATTTTGCAGTGGGTGGAAGGAATGGTTTAAAATAAGTGAGCTGAGAGGATCAGCAGTTAGTGTTTTCTGACACCAAGTCTAACACGTAATGATATTTTTCCAGACCATCAGTCAGTTCTGTGACACCACCCGGGTAACCAACAGTTCAATCCTATTCTGAGACTAACTTTCCAGAGTTAGCATCAGACTCCACAGGTTTAAGGGTCCATTCCCACAAGTTTGCCCTCATTTCAGGGGACAGTTGTGTGTCCTGGGGACCACCCTTATTTCTTTTCTGTGGGCTATAAACCAGAAGTGCCTAAGACGCCCTCCTCAGGTTTGATAATCATTAGAATGATTCACAGAACTCAGCAAAGCACTTTACTGTTGCCTATTTATTGTAAAAGATACAACTCAGGAACAGTCAAATGGGAGAGATGCATCAGAGAGTATGGGTGCTCTGGTGGGAGCACCACCCCCTTGGCTTGTTAATATGTGCACCAACCCAGAAGCCTTCCAGGTCTGGTTCAGTAGTTTTTATTTTTATAGGGGCGTGGTTGCCCCTTTACAGGCGTGGTTGATTGAACCATTGTATGTGTGTGCTCAGTTGCTCAGTCACGTCCGACTCTTTGAGCCCGCCAGGCTCCTCTGTCCATGAAATTTTCCAGGCAAGAATACTGGAGTGGGTTGCCATTTCCTTTTCCAGGGGATCTTCCTGACCATGGGATCGAACCTACATCTCTTGCCTCTCCCTCATTAGCAGGCGGGTTCTTTACCACTGCACCACCTGGAAAGCCGGATTGTATTATTGGCCATTGGTTTTGCACTCCATCTCCAATCCTCACCCCTACCCTCTTCCCAAGGGACAGGTTGCTCACTAAATTTGACCAAAATGTGATCATTTTGGGAGAAGCTGTTTTGAAAGTCTAAACCCTGATGTTCAGAGTTTGATTTGTCTAAGAGCTACCCATGTTATGGTTTATATTTCTTTGATGTAGAGCATTTTCACGTCACTGTCCCATTTTATCTTCATGACAGACCCATCAGCAGGGGCTGGTATGATAATCTATCCTACAGATGAGACTAAAGAGCAGATGACATTAAGTGACTGTAGTCATCTGTCTAGTTTATATCTGATAGCAGCCTTACATTTTTCACTCCTAGTCTAGTGTTCTTCCCTTTATACTATACTGCCTTATGATGATCTGTTATGCCTTCCTAGGGAGATAAGCAAAAGAATTTCAAAGATTTCTACCAACTCCTCAGAGGGAGTTCTTATGGGTGGCTGAAGATTAGCATAAGACAGATGGTTCTGCAGTTTCCTCATCTTGAGGAACGACAGGGCTGAGATCAGCCTTGGCTGCAAGGACGGCTATGGTTTCTGTCCTTTATGAGGAGGGGATCTGATAGGCGTGCTGCCGCCTCTTTTCTGGCTCCTGGTAGGGATATACAGTCTTATCCAACCAGTTTTCATAATGAAGGAGAGGACTTGGGGTGAACTGTCTTCTTTGGAGGAAGATGAATCAATTTGACCAAATTTTTTTAGAAGTGGGCAAGGGTAAAGGGTATTTTAATACTGAATCTCCTTAGAATTAAGATTAAGAATTTTCTACTTAGGTGTAATGTTAAACCTAAGAGGCCATGAATGGGAGGAGGAAACAAACTGAATGAAAGTAAAACTAAGCCTGTTGAGGGAACTTTGAAGATTTTTTTCTCATGTGCAACATGATGGATATTTCCTTCATAATCTCTAACATAAGCCAGTATAGAGCCTTGGCTGCTATGAGAAAGTTGTGAATGATGGAGACCACATATGGATTGAATGAGCGTAAAAGATGAGATCATTGCATCTGAAAGTTATTCATGCTATTTCACAGAAAAAAAAATTTATCTGGTTTGTTCAAAATAATTGTTACCATGTCTGTAGAAAGATAGTTCTTTAACATGAAGTGAATGTAGAACCCAAATGAGATCTTTTCAGAGTTAAGAAAGGGTGTTTTGGAGCTAACCAAGAGGAGGTGACCGAAGCTGGTATTTTTTAGAGAAATGTTTAAGGGGCATGATTGAGGCAGTGGCCCCTTCAGAGGGTCTGTGGTAGAGAACCTCTAGGAACTTGTGCTTCCGGATCACAGTGCTGATCTCCTTGAGGAATCAGTGGTTCACTCTCCCGTACATGATATTTCTTTGTTTCCTCCAGGGACAGGACCAGATGGCAGAATCATCAAGAGGGACATTGACTCCTTTGTGCCTACTAAAGCTGCTCCTGTGAGTTCTATTTGGCTTTTTAAATTCTGGTTGCAGTTTTGTCTGCAGAGTGCTTTGTCCAGCCTGTTAGACCCTTGCATACAATGAGTGAAATAGCTTAATTAGTGCTGTGTGTTTTTTTGTCTGATTTTACTGGCTGACAGTATATAAGTATGAATGTGTTGTTATTCATATACAAAAGCAAAGATGCTACGGTGATGGTTTAGTTGTTAAGTCATGTCCGACTCTTGCGATCCCATGGACTGTAGCCTGCCAGGCTCCTCTGTCCATGGGATTCTCCAGGCTAGGATACTGGAGTGGGTTGCCATTTCCTTCTCCAGAGGATCTTCCCGACCCAGGAATTTAACCCTGGTCTCCTGCATTGCAGGCAGATTCTTTACCTACTGAGCTATGAGGGAAGTCCCAAAGATGCTATACTACATCGAAATCCTTCTAAGTTGTTTTTGTTTTTTGAGTAGAGAAACTAAAGTTTTCTAACATATTATCTCACTCAGACACTACTTTTAAAAGCATGCTTGACTTGGGTTTGAGTTTTATGTGGTTAATTAGTCCACAGAGGGATTAAATCCACATCGTCAACTCTGATCAGCAAAGGTGCTAAGATAATCAGCTATAAGTAAGGATAATGATTTAGTTATTTAGATGTTTGGTTTAAAATGAAATATTTGTCAATATTTTTTATTGACACTATTCAGGAAAATACAATACCTTCTTTGTATTTATCTCAATCTTTTCAATTTAAGAATGCTTTGATTGTTTTTCTTGAGGAAAATATTCCAAAAACAAAATTGTGATATAAACTAGTCATTGAAAAATGACACTTAAAATATGATTACCCAATTCCAAGTATGAAAATTAAAAACAACTCTTAAACAAGCACAGTCCAGATCTGAGTCCCTTTTGCTCCCTTGGAATAGAAATAGTTATTTTTCTATAAGCTCTTTAATTTTTACTTTGCCATCTGTAAAAGAATCACTAACAGTAGTTCACAGTTGCTGATGCTAAGACTAAGCCACAGTTCCTAAGAACTTTATTACCTCTCTCTAGACTCCAGCAGCCGCTGTGCCTCCTCCAAGTCCAGGAGTGACTCCAGTTCCTACAGGCGTCTTCACAGATATCCCAATCAGCAACATTCGCCGAGTAAGAGTATTACCGTAACTCCAGACCTCAAGCTGTTGGGGACATCTTTACTCTGATTGTTCAGTTGCATCCATAGTTTAAAACACTAAGAAGAAGGGAAAAAAAAATAAGAGGAAACTTTTTTTAAAATTGTGGATCTTCAGTGATTCATTTAGTAGATGTTTGGTTTGGCCAGTTGAATTCTTAGAATACACAAACACTGTGTTCTGATTAAATACTATTACAAGGGGCTAAATTGTGCTCCAGTCCTACATCTTTCAGTTCTAATAATACATAATACATCGCGTAGGCATCACCAGGGAGCAGGGTAAAGGGGCAAACAGAGTGCTGAATAGATAACATCTCATCTCAAGATAATTGATTTTTTAATCTCTTTTGATTTCAGGTCATTGCACAGCGGTTAATGCAATCTAAGCAAACCATACCTCATTATTACCTTTCTATTGATGTAAATATGGGAGAAGTTTTGTTGGTTCGGAAAGAACTTAATAAGGTAAAAGATGTGGAAATTCCACCTCTATAAATTCTAAAAATCTTGTTTTCCTTCACTGAATATTTACATTTTTGTTCCTGTATTGTATTTTGTTATAAATGCCAGTTGATGATGGAAAGTGGATGTCATCTTAATTTTAACTTGCAGAAAATATCCTGGAGAATTTTCTTTCCTTTTTTGTTTTCCTTTATTTTTTTCTTAGTTGGAGGCTAATTGGTTTTTGCCATTCATTGACATGAATCAGCCATGAACTTACATGTGTTCCCCATCCCGATCCCCCCTCCCGCCCCATCCCATCCCTCTGGGTCTTCCCAGTGCACCAGCCCCGAGCACTTGTCTCATGCATCCAACCTGGGCTGGCAGTCTGTTTCGCACTTGATAATATACATGTTTCAATGCTATTCTTTCAGATCATCCCACCCTCGCCTTCTCCCATAGAGTCCCAAAGTCTGTTCTATACATCTGTGTCTCTTTTTTTGTCTTGCATATAGGGTTATCGTTACCATCTTTCTAAATTACATATATATGCGTTAGTATACTGTATTGGTATTTATCTTTCTGGCTTACTTCACTCTGTATAATGGGCTCCAGTTTTCATCCATCTCATTAGAACTGATTCAAATATATTCTTTTTAATGGCTGAGTAATATCCCATTGTGTATATTTACCACAGCTTCCTTATCCATTCGTCTGCTGATGGACGTCTAGGTTGCCTCCATGTCCTGGCTATTATAAACAGTGCTTCGATGAACATTGGGGTACACGTGTCTCTTTCAGTTCTGGTTTCCTTGGTGTGTATGCCCAGAAGTGGGATTGCTGGGTCATATGGCAGTTCTATTTCCAGTTTTTTAAGGAATCTCTACACTGTTCTCCATAGTGGCTGTGTGTACTAGTTTGCATTCCCACCAACAGTCTAAGAGGGTTCCCTTTTCTCCACACCCTCTCCAGCATTTATTGCTTGTAGACTTTTGGATAGCAGCCATTCTGACTGGCGTGTAATGGTACCTCACTGTGGTTTTGATTTGCATTTCTCTGATAATGAGTGATGTTGAGCATCTTTTCATGTGTTTGTTAGCCATCTGTATGTCTTCTTTGGAGAAATGTCTGTTTAGTTCTTTGGCCCATTTTTTGATTGGGTCATTTATTTTTCTGGAATTGAGCTGCAGGAGTTGCTTGTATATTTTTGAGATTAATCCTTTGTCTGTTGCTTTGTTTGCTATTATTTTCTCCCATTCTGAAGGCTGTCTTTTCACCTTGCTTATAGTTTCCTTTGTTGTGCAAAAGCTTTTACATTTAATTAGGTCCCATTTGTTTATTTTTTATTTTATTTCCAATATTCTGGGAGGTGGGTCACAGAGAATCTTGCTGTGATTTATGTCGGAGAGTGTTTTGCCTATGTTCTCTTCTAGGAGTTTTACACTTGATCTTAGCCAAAAGGCTGAGAAGCGATCCTCTAGGAGTTTTATAGTTTCTGGTCTTAACATTTAGATCTTTAATCCATTTTGAGTTTATTTTTGTGTATGGTGTTAGAGAGTGTTCTAGTTTCATTCTTTTACAGGTGGTTGACCAGTTTTCCCAGCACCACTTGTTAAAGAGGTTGTCTTTTTTCCATTGTATATCCTTGCCTCCTTTGTCGAAGATAAGGTGTCCATAGGTATGTGGATTTATCTCTGAGCTTTCTATTCTATTCCATTGATCTATATTTCTGTCTTTGTGCCAGTACCATACTGTCTTGATGACTGTGGCTTTGTAGTAGAGCCTGAAGTTTGGCAGTTTGATGCCTCCAGTTCCATTCTTCTTTCTCAAGATTGCTTTGGCTAGTCAAGGTTTTTTGTATTTCCATACAAACTGTGAAATTATTTGCTCTAGTTCTGTGAAAAATACCGTTGGTAGCTTGATAGGGATTGCATTGAATCTATAGATTGCTTTGGGTAGTATACTCATTTTCACAGTATTGATTCTTCTAATCCCTGAACACAATACGTTTGTCCATCTGTTTGTATCCTCTTTGATTTCTTTCATCAGTGTTTTATAGTTTTCTATATATAGGTCTTTGTTTCTTTAGGTAGATATACTCCTAAGTATTTTATTCTTTTTGTTGCAATGGTGAATGGTATTGTTTCCTTAATTTCTCTTTCTGTTTTCTCATTGTTAGTGTACAGGAATGCAAAGGATTTCTGTGTGTTAATTTAATTTCCTGCAACTTTACTATATTCATTGATTAGATCTAGTAATTTTCTGGTAGAGTCTTTAGGGTTTTCTCTGTAGAGGATCATGTCATCTGCAAACTCTGGAGAATTTTCATTTTCTAACCCTTTATTAAAGCTTATCGTTAAAGTTGACTTTGCCATGGATCCATTTTAGCCTAACATAGTCACTGGGATTCTATGAGACTACTTGAGTCTCTTCAGGTAGGTAAGAAGCAGTGTGTTTGCTTTGTCTTCATACCTTCTTAGTACTTAGTTATTTTGTAACTTAGGGAGGAAATGTAACAGGTGTAATGGTCTACATTAGAAAAGATGAAGAAGAAACAACTTTTGGTTTCTTTTCATCCTTTCTACCCCAGGACATTTGTATATCCACCCCCTCCCACCTCCTCAAGATTATATAGTTTCAGTCTTCGAGAAGAGAATTTAAGAAACTAAAATGGTTTCTTTACCTTGCAGATGTTAGAAGGAAAAAGCAAGATTTCCGTCAATGACTTCATTATAAAAGCTTCAGCTTTGGCATGTTTAAAAGTTCCTGAAGCGAATTCTTCTTGGCTGGACACAGTTATAAGACAGTAAGTATAACCCTTTTCGGGAAGGTGTGTTCTGAATCTATACATCTGTCTGTCAACCCATCTATCCAGCAGCAGTTTTGTGTGTGTGTTGTCTAATGTGTAAGTAGGAGTGCAGGGAGTAAGAAGAAACAGAATACAGAGTGGGAGATGATGTCCATGGGCAAAACAGTTTGTAAACGACATAAAATTATTTCTGAGACCATGCTAAGTTTAATCAGTAAAGACTACAGATGCTTAACAGTTCAGGGAAGGGAGAGAAGTGTACAGATATGTATACTTAAGTTGATAATGACTCTCACAAGGCAGGATTGAAATGGTTTTGTTCACCAATTAGTTCTGCTAAACTTTAGTGGTGACAAAATTGAAAACAAAACCAAAAAGCAGTATTTGTTAATATTACGGTATCGTGTGACTGGCATGGTGCTTAGTGTCTTTCTCATGTTGTCCCATTTAATTCTTAGGACCACCTTATGAGGTAGGTGCTTTTACTCCTATTTTCCAGATGAATAAACAGGCTCAGTAAGTTGAGATACTCCCTGAGTTCATATGTTAGTAAGCAGCAGAACTGGGATTGGAACCAGGATTCTGACTCAGTCTAGCCTTTTTCTACTATGTAGATGGTTTTATATTATTAATTTAATTTTTATTACAATAATAGTATATACTTTATAATATTAATTTGTGGCTTATGGTGACCTGCTCAGCCTTTATCTGAGGCAAACACAGCCTTAAACTATTATTTCTTTTGGTATTTACCTTCATGTTTCTTTGGGCTCCCCTGGTGGCTCAGTTGGTGAAGAATCTGCCTGCAATGCAGGAGACCCAGGTTCGATCCCTGGGTCGGGAAGATCCCCTGGAGAAGGAGATGGCTATCCACTCCAGTATTCTTGCCTGGAGAATTCCATGGACAGAGGAACCTGGTGGGCTACAGTCCAGGGGGTCACAAAGAATCAGAAATGACTGAGTGACTAATTTCACTTTTCATATCTCTCTTTTTTTTTTATGTGTTCACTTACTTTAATAACACTACGTTTATCGTGTTATCACTATGGAATGTGAATCCATGTTCAAGAGAATTTCATCAGTGCAGCAAAACAAAGTTTGTTGTGGTATACCAAAGTTTGCATACTGTCTGACCAAACCAGCTGGCTCATAAATCACTTCCATTATAGGCAATTCATTTAATCTATGATTCTTTTAGAGAAAATGAACATACTGCACACATTTAAAAAGTGTTTTTCATTTACCTTTGCATTGGTGCTTAAAATGCACATTTCTATTTCAAAATAACACTTAAAATTATTCTAATATAACAGCAGCAAAATATAATTTTGCAATTACAAAAGAGCTAAAAGGGATCTACAATTAAGTTATTCTCATGTTTACAATTATGATTCTAAAGTAAGTTATACTTCAAAGTGGCTCTGTTACCAGCTTTTTGAGGTTTGGTTTAAAAACACACACAGACTTTCAGGGAGGTTTATATCTGTTGTATTCCATGCACTGTTCTGAAAGGGTTCCTCTAAAGCCAAGTGAAGTGAAGTGAAGTGAAGTTGCTCAGTCATGTCCAGCTCTTTGCGACCCCATAGAATGTAGCCCACCAGGCTCCTCCATCTGTGGAATTTTCTAGGCAAGAGTACTGAAGAGCGTTGCCATTTCCTTCTCCAGGGGATCTTCCCGACCCAGGGATCAAACCTGGATCCCTTAAAACAGTACTTAGTCCACAAGGCAGTCAGAGAGTTAAACTAAATGGGGTAAATAGGATTCCTACATTACATCAAAAGCATATGATTATTCTGCAGCCACTGGGAGCATTTTCAGGATTGGCATGTTGTCCTCTTGAGAACTAATTTCATCAGAAGGGTTTGAGAAGGTGGGGAGGTAACACTATCAAGTATATTTAAAAGTGACATGTTTCTTTTACGCTAATCTGACTCTCCCGAGTGACCTAGCTAGTGAACTAGTCACCAGTAACTTGGTCACCTGGCAAATCAAGCCCGCAAAAAAGGAAGCCAGTATTGAAATTACCGTGTTCTTGTCTGACCCAAACAGTTTATTTTCGTCATAAACATATAACCTCAATATGAGATGTCTAACTAAAGCAAGCACCACCAAGACAGCATCTCCTCTTCTAAGGCTTAGGTTTTGCCCAGAATTCTTGGTACAGGGAATCGCCCATATCAAGAGTCATTGCTCCCACAACAAAGCCTTGGGCTGCCACATGCATGTGGGTCAGGTGAATAGACGTTTTAGTATTTCTCCTGCTCTTCCATCTATGTAATCCATAGGCAATGATTGCTGCAAAATGTGCCATTCCCGTGGGGACAAATGGTGCCTCTCTTGGTTTTCAGATAAGTTTAAATCCCTGATCTTAATCATATGAAGAAAGAGAAGTGTGTCGCTCGACATAGTGGTTGAAGAATCTTTAGACAACTACAGAACGTTTCAGGTTCCTCCCGGCTTCTGACCTGGCTCCCGCATCTGCCATCTACCTTCATATTTCTAAATAACATTTTTCTGTTGCCTTTTTCTCAGTTTTTCATTTCATTTATTTATCACCTTTCTGTTAAAGAAGGTTAAAATTTGTACCCTGTCTACAAACACATACACACAACCCATCATCCGACCAGATTGATTATAGTACAGATTTTTAAATTGCTTATCATCATTTCTTTCTGAAGTTTCTTTCAGAAAAAAAAAGTTTCAGTTTCTATCTGAAACTCCCCAAGAAAACTAAACATGTTTCCCAAGACTGAAAAATAGTTTACTGATCCTGATTTTCGTCTTGGTCACCCTGCTATTAGAGAACATCTGAGGGCCTTACTATTCTTTAGAGACTATATTAGTTTTCTAAGGTTGCCAGTACAAATTACCACAAAATTTGTGGCTTAACAAAAATTTACTCCCTCCTAGTTCTGAAGGTTAGACGTGTGAAATTAAGGTATCAGCAGGACCTACTCCCTGCACAGGCTCTTGGGTGAACTCTTGCTTGCTGTCTCCAGCTCTGGCAGCTTTGGGCATTCCTTGGCTTGGGGCTGCTCAGCTCCAGCTTCACATGGCCTTCATGTGTCCATGTCTTCCCTTCTGTCTCTTACAAGGACAGTTGGCATTGGATTTAGGACCCACCCAGATAACCCAGGGCGAACTCATCTCAAAGGTGTGATTATATCAGTGAAGACCTTTTTACTAAATATGGTCACATTAATAGACTCTGGGATTAAGACATAGACATAGCTTTGAGAGCACGGTTATGAACATTTGAGGACAATTCTTTGTACTGACATATGTCTTCATTTCTTTTGGGTAGACTCCTTGGAGTGGAATTGCTGGATTGTAGGGTAAATTTATGTTTAACCTTTTAAGAATATCTGAAGGAAACACTACTTAGATGAAAGGATGGTGGCTGCAGCTCAAGTTCTGTGAATTATTTATTAACCCTTACCAAATGCCCTTCATTTATTTGTTCATACAGCTATTCAACAAGTATTTATTGGACACATGGTGTTAACTGGATTTTGTTGTTGTTCAGTCGCTTAGTCATGTCTGACTCTTTGCAGTCCCATGGACTGCAGTACACCAGGCTTCCCTGTCCTTCACCGTCTACCTGAGTTTGCCCAAACTCATGTCCTTTGAGTCAGTGATGCCATCCAACCATCTCATCCTCTGTCACTCCCTTCAGCCCTCAGTCTTTCCCAGCATCAGGGTCTTTTCCAATGAGTTGGTTTTTAACATCAAGTATTGGAGTTTCAGCATCAGCCCTTCCAATGAATATTCAGGATCAATTTCCTTTAGGATTGACTGCTTTAGTGGTGAACAAGATAGGAAACACCATCCCTACTCTATTAGGAATATTTTTAAACATTATTGTAATAACAAGATAATTTAATTAAGAAAGCAGCACTGCTCTGTGATACCTTGGCTGGAGCCCAGCTGTGGTAGCTGCTGACACTGTATTATTAGAGCAGGTCCCTGTGTTTGCAGCTGGCAAAAGCCTGCTGCCTCGGGCCAGCTTGGGCACACAGGGGCTCGGCACCCATAGTCTCCAAAGAGCTGGAGTTCCTTTTTTCATGTGAAGTTTTATCTTTTTTAAGTTGAAGGATAGTTGATTTATAATATTAGTTTTAAGATTATGACATAGTGATTCAGTGTTTTTGTGGATTGTACTCCCTTATAAGTTATTACAAGGTAACGGCTATAATTCCCTGTGCTATATATGTTTGCTGCTTATCTATCCTATACGTGGTAGTTTGTTAGTCACACACACCCACTTTGTCACTCTGCCCTTTCCTCTGTCCTTTGGTGACCATTAGTTTGTTTTCTCTGTGAGTTTGTTCCTGTTTTGCAAGTACATCCATTTGTATTAATCTTTTTACATTCTACATATAAGATATACAGTGTTTGTCTTTCTCTGATTTATTTCCTGAAGCATAATATTCCCTAGGTCTAACCATGTGGCTGCAGATGGTAGAATTTCATTCTTTTTTTATGGCTGAGTAATTCCTGTGCGTGTGTATATGTGTGTGTGTGTGTGAGTGAGATGTCCATTGTCTGTTGATGGGCACTTGGACTTGGGTTGCTTCCCTGTCTTTAATTGGTATGTTCATTTTTCTGGATATATACACCCAGGAGTGGAATTGCTGGATCATACAATAGTTCTATTTTACTTTTTTAAGGAACCTCCATACTCTCTTCCTATAGTGGTTGCACCAGTTTATTGATGCATTCTCACCAACAATTTATAACTTATGCTTTCTCACCCTTTTCATCCTTGCCAACATTTGTTAACTTTTTTCTTAATTGCAGAACACTTTAGCAGGGGCCCTTACACAGACAACCCCTAAGGAGATCCTGATACAGTTCAGGAGTTTGGGAACTTGGTTGGGGGGGGGGGGATATAATTCTTTTTTACTAATCTTTATTGGGAAATTTTGGGCTTCCCTGATAGCTCAGTTGGTAAAGAATCTGCCTGCATTGCAGGAGACCCCATTTCGATTCCTGGGTCAGGAAGATGTGCTGGAGAAGAGATAGGCTACCCATGGCAGTATTCTTGGGCTTCCCTTGTAGCTCAGCTGTTAAAGAATCCGCCTGTAATGTGGAAGACCTGGGATCGATCCCTGGGTTGGGAAGATCCCCTGGAGAAGGGAAAGGGTACCCACTCCAGTATTCTGGCCTAGAGAATTCCATGGACTGTATAGTTCACGGGGTCACAAAGAGTTGGACACGACTAAGTGACTTTTATTTTCAGTGTGAAATTTAGGATTTTCTCCTATTATAGAGAACAAATCAAAGAGGTGTTTTAATACTTGTGCTGATGACCAAATAAAAATCAAGTTGTTTTCTTATGCATTGTGGTTGTTACGGATGTCTTAAAATATATCATGACTCCAAAAGCATAGCCATAATTAGATCTGCTGCAAGATTTTTGAAGCACATATATCACAGTTTTGTTTTCTGAATAGTTCAGTAACTGAATTTCAGTATATTTTGTTTGGGGGGGAGTTTTTTTTTCTTTTTTTTGGTAAGTATTTTGTTTCCTATGATTAAAAATTATGAGAAGGGACCCAAATGCAAGTGTCTGTAGCATAGAAAAGATTAGGAATCCTGCTTTTATGTTCTGAGACAGCACTACCACCCTACCATGTGAGCACGCCTGTTTCCCCCCCCCCCCATGCAGTTCTTTCCCTCAGTCTTCCTTTTATCTGCTCAACCTCTGCTTGCAGACGAAGCTCCAGCTAGTCCTCTTCATCTCATAAATCTTAAGGAGCTCTTTTCAGTTCTCACTGGATGCTGAACGTTTTCTCCCCAATTATGTTCATGATGTTGGTCAATGCAGATAAGGGGTAGTTAGTGAGTACACGTGAAGCCAACCTACTGACACATTTCTCATTCCTTTTTAAAAAGTGCGGATCTAAAAAAATAAAAGTTCAGGTCTGAGAGGGGGCATAGTAAAATTGAAAAACCAGGCAAGATCTCTCTGGCTAAAAAGTAACACAGACTAACTGCCACTATTCTTGCTTAACCTGACACAGACTCTTAACAGTTGTGATTATTGAGTTTTACTTTTCTTTTTTTCTTTTTAAATAGAAATCATGTTGTTGATATCAGTGTTGCAGTCAGTACTCCTGCAGGACTCATCACACCTATTGTATTTAATGCACATATAAAAGGACTGGAAACCATTGCTAATGATGTTGTTTCTTTAGCAACCAAAGCACGAGAGGGTAAACTACAACCACATGAGTTCCAGGTAAGATATGTATTTACTTTGTGAATGTTACTATGTTATTTTAGTGAACTGTATTATTTTTAAAGTTGGCCATATGCTTTTATTGCATTTTCCACTTTTTGATTCTGCCTTGTGTTCTCACTGACAGAAGGTCTTGAAAGAAAAATTGAGTAACCTATCAAAAGCTGAAAAAAAGTTTTTCAAGTAGTGTGCAAAAGCCACACGACTGATATGTGTTCATGTTGCTATGGTGGTGTGTTTTCAGCAAAGTGTACCCCATTCAGTTTTTTATTTTTTTTTCCCTTTCACCTTTATGTGTAATTAGTAAATAGAAGTTGTATATATTTAAGGTGTACAACTTGTTGTTTTGATATATGTATACTCTGTGATCGTGACAAGGTAATTAACGTATCTGTCACCTCATATACTTACCATTTTCCCTTTTTTTAAATGGTAGTTGAATCCTTCTTTTAGAAAATATATTATTGAAGTATAGTTGATTTACAATGTGTTAATTTCTATTGTACAGCAGAGTGTCTCAGTTATACAGGTATATACATTCTTTTTCATATCTTTTCCATTATGGTTTATCACAGGATATTGAATATAGTTCCCTGTGCTATACAGTAGGACCTCGTTGTATATCCATCCTATATCTAATAGTTTGTATCTGTTAATCCCAAACTCTCAATTGAACCCTTAACCATGAGTCTGTTCTCTATGTCTGTGAGTCTATTTCTGTTTCACAGATAAGTTCATTTGTGTCATATTTTATATTGCACATATAAATGGTATCATATGGTATTTGTCTTTCTCTTTCTGACTTGCTCAGTATGATAATATCTAGGTTCATCCATGTTGCTAAGAATCCCTTCTTAAAGTAAAACATCTTAAGGTCTTTTCACAAAACATTGTCATTTTTTCTGATTTATATTGACAAGCAGTTACCATGATCTGTTTTTAAATCTTTTTTTTCCTTTAGGGTGGCACTTTTACAATCTCAAATTTAGGAATGTTTGGGATTAAGAACTTCTCTGCTATTATTAACCCACCTCAAGCATGTATTTTGGCAATTGGTGCTTCAGAGGATAGACTGGTTCCAGCAGATAATGAAAAAGGGTAAGTGCCAAAATGGAGAGGGAGTTGTAAACTTACTTTCATTACAGTATACCTGACTTTGAATCTTAGGTTTTATAATTATTGGCATGGCATACTGGAACTTCACACAGAGTTAGATGTAAGCACATCTAAGTTTCTCAGGGCACCAACTTTTCTTATTTTGCTATTTGAGATGGGAAGTCTTATTTACTCTAGGTTAGTGGTCAGCATAATTTTTCTTAAAGAGCCAGTTAGTAAATGTTTCATTTTTTCTGGGTCATACAGTTGCTATCGCAAATACTTGGCTATTGTGGTATGAAAGCAGGCATAGGCAATACATAAACGTATTCCAGTAAATCTGTGTTTGGTAGGATTTGGCCTGTGGGCTGTTGTTTCCTGACCTGTATCCTTCAGATGGCTGTTTGGTCTGTTTCTTCAAACGATTGATTTGAGCTAGAGGTGTACAACCCATGAAGAGTAGGTAAAAAATAATGTTACCTGGTTGGGATTGTAAGTTAGGAGTTGGCATTTGGGCTGGTTACTAGCTAACATCTAGTGATTGCTTTTAGAGTACCTAATAATGTTTTTTCATCTTTTTCTAGATTTGATGTGGCGAGCATGATGTCTGTTACACTCAGTTGTGATCATCGGGTTGTCGATGGAGCAGTTGGAGCCCAGTGGCTTGCTGAGTTTAGAAAGTACCTTGAAAAACCTATCACCATGTTGTTATAATTAATCCAAGAATTTCTAGACTCTCTTAGGTCACACTGTTTCATTCTTACCAAGGTATTAATATGTTATTAAATGGTGGTTCTCTTTTTATTTTAAGGTTAACCAGTTATTTTTGAGTCTGTCCAGATATTTGTAATGGGCATTACTGAATTTTTAAAAATGCCAATTACATCCCAATATTGTGCACATTTAATAAACACCAGATTTTAAGCTGCGTACTCCAGGTCAAGGGGCCTATTGCATAGCCCTTTGGTGGTAAGTCCTGCCACTGGAAATGCAGAGGTAGAATTGTGGTTCCCTATTGAGACAGGCACATAAAAGTAACCTTGATGAGACACTGAGGTTTTGAAATTTAATTACCTCAAATGTTTTGATGAGATTTGAGAAAAGTCAGAAAAACTAGTTCTTTTGGAGAAAGAATTTGAACTGAAACTTGATTTTGGAATTTAAGCCTAATTTGAAAGTTTGTGTTACATAAATCTTGGTTTATCATGGATGGGAAGCATGGAGAACTTGAAGGAAAATACGAGAAAACTTTAAAAGTCAACATTTTCATAGGACTGTTCAACCAGCTGTTCTTTATTTTTCTATGAATTCAGAAATGGTTGTTTTCTCCTCTTGAGATGAAGATATAAATATGAACCAGCTCCTTGGTATAAGTGAGAATTTGTGTGGGTATCTATTTAAATAATTTAAATGTGTCATTGTGAGAGCAGAATTCTATAATTGCCTCAAATAAAAGAATATGCTTATAGAATTTAACAGAGTGAACTTGTGAAAGTAGAATTTTTCCTGTAAAATTAACTAGTGGTTACTTGCAAATGAACTTAATTAGTAGGATTTATTACTTAAATACTTGAAAAACTTGTATCAAGTAACTGTGGAATGGAATAAGTGTATATATGTAAATATGGTTCCTAGTAAGATATGTGCCAAAGTCCATTTATCACCAAGTTGCGTCTAAAAAGAAGAAGGGAAGAGATACACTAGTGGATAGTTTGGAGTGATAAAAGATGATGACTGGAACAAACTGGTCATTTCTGGTTTTGGATAAAGTGCAAATGTTAAATGTGTACAAAAAGAAGTGTTCTATGTTTTTCCACCCCAATGTTGTCTCATGTAAAATAAGAAAACCCTAAAATCCTGTCAGAGAGAAAAAGATTATTTAGGTTGTTTGCTACCTTATCAGCCTAAATATTTATTTTCCATTTTGTTACAATTTGCCTTTCTGTGGGGGGGTGGGGGGTGGTGATATTCAGGATAATAAAAATGAATTAGAAACATTATCACAATTCTAGACTTTCTATGGAATTGATGTGATTTAATTAATAAATTTGGAATTGTTTATAACTATTAACAAATCTGATCCTCCTTGTAAAATGTAATATGCAGAACTATTCCCTGAAATTTAGGTCTTTCAATGTTGAATCTGTCTCTAAGTGTTCATTACATGGTGCACAAGTGACACTCCATATATTCCAGAAATATTTTCCTTGCTGTATTATTATGAAAATAATACGTGAATCTGACTTTTCAGTAGTGACTTTAGCTTGAAGATTATGGAGAAGGAACAAACTTATAACAAGGGACCATTAGCAGTATGAGCCACGTCTGGGTCACATACACGAAACTTCAAAGATAATTCATTATTTGGTGGTGTTTATGGCTCTGTTGTTCCCTTGAGAGAAAAATTTAAAAGTTGCATTCTAATAGAAATTGTTCTGAGTTAAAAATTAACCTGAGCTATCATCTAAATTTGGATTCAGTTTATTTCCCTTACCAGCTGGAATGAACAAGTGTTAGAAATAGTGTTTTGGTTCAAATTAGTTTGTTTGAAAATTAAACTATATGTTTTCAATGTGTCTTGTCTAATATTTTTGATTTGTCGGTAATTATTTTTCACATTAGATTTTTTAAGACCAAGAACAGCTATGTATATGGTAAGCTCTTAATACAGATACATTTTGAGTTTATAGAATTGGTAAAATAAGTTCTGAGTTTGGGAGCATATAATCTAACCTTCAGGCTCAAGGAGCCCTCTTGTTAGGAGGTGGCACATAGCAAAAAGGAAGAGTGGTCTGGCTCTGCTAGCTATAAACTCCATTCCTGAGGTCTGTGAGTGAAGTATCCCAAGGCCTGGACTACAGAAGTTGCCCAGTGCGAGCGGTCCTAGGAATGCACTGTAAGGAATTCTCATCATTCAGTAATGCATAAACTCTGGAGGACATGAGGAAATAATCACTACTGATTCCTAATCTCTAAAACCAAGTTGGTAGAAGAATCTGATATCTGAATCAAGGATAATTCATGTCCATCTCAAAGTTTTCAGTTTTGAAGAACTATCTTGATAAGATTCAGATTAAACTGCTCAACTGTTCATTATTAGTTAATGCTCTTACTAACCAAAGTTTTGCTTTTTGTAGGGAGGGGGAGGTGGAGATGTTATAAGTGAAAGTGTTTTGTAAAATAAATAGGATGTAAGTTTACCATTTTAACGTTAAGCATGCTAGATCTTGTACTCATTAATAAGTACACAATTACATAACTCCTGACATAGTAACACCTAAGTGTGAGAGTGCAAGAGTAGAGATTCAGCTATTTCTGTGTAAGTAGGTATGGGAATTTATAGAAATTAAGTTTGACAGTGATTTTGTAGAAGAAAAGATAAGGTCAAAGCATTCCCAAGTCTTTTGCGGGATGAGTATAGGATATCACAGTTCTAGAAAACTTTACAACAATAAATTATCCTATTGCTAGAAAAATTAAAGTCCACACCAGGTTTAAGAAAATTACTCATTTGTAATTATCATAGGTCAGTTACTGCTATCACACACTTTAGTTTCTAAAGTTAAAAAGTTTTAAAATTATGAGAACTTTATTTAAAGACTTTATGTTGAATTAGAAACTAATAATTACAAGGAGAGTGTTTTGTATTTAGAAAAGACAAGGGATGTTTAAACTTTGGTGTGAATGTTGCTTCCTCTGGATATAAATTGGAAAACTGATACTTTTGTATTGAACAAAGAACTGACAGATGAATGGGAGTTTAAAAGTACATCACTTCTGTATTTTAAAAGTTATTAAGAGAAAGGCACTTGTCCCAAAGTGAGCCCCTTTGCCTTAAATTAGAGTTGGATGTATTTTATGTCTTACATGTAATAATACCCAATGACTGTCACTGCATCATTTTATCTAATCCACAAATCCATACCTGATGTTAAAGGGACGTAGGTCTGGGTGGCTTGGACTCCTGCCAGAGCCTGCTTTATAGAAGTACAGAGGTTCACAGAAGCAAAGGTTTACACATTATTATACTGGCCCTACATCTTTATCGCCGGAGGAAACTTTGACTGCTAAGGTACATCTTGGTAGTAAAAAACTTCTTGCACAGTCTGGTATTTATTCCTAATGCAAAAATTTACTAGAGACAAAAATGTTTTCAACTAGTAAACAAAGAATTCTTACATATTATAATGCCTGGAGACAAACAGACTTTTCCCAAATGGTATTTAAGTTACTTGAGGCCATTACAAATATCTTCAAAACAAGTATATCATGGCAGCACTGTTTTTGGTAGTTTGTGCTTGATGCCAAGTTTACTTGAGGAGAAAGAATTTTAAAAAGCAGCTGATGAGAAAATCTCACTCCATCAAAAGAAATTCCTAGAAAATGAAACTTTAAAAGTTAAGATAAACCTCTTCACAGATAATGGAGGCCCTCTAATTCACATGACTTTCACAGAAAACTCCAAATACACGATGCTTTTAACTTACACCAATGGCATTGTGACAATTAAAGTGGCTTTCTCTTTGATAAATTTTGCTGTAGTCATTTCAGTATCCACAGATTCTGGAAGGTTTAGATGTAATCTGTACTTTTCAGAGACCTCGATCAATATATCATCCTAAAAAGAAACCAAGAGAGATTTTAAAAGATGTAAATAGAAAAGTACTTCCTGGTTAGAATTTGTTACAGGTTTATTGTTCCCAGTTATTCACTCCTTTCCCGTAAGAAGAGGGTCCACTTGTGAGCAGTAAAGGTATTGTAAATGCCTGAGATTCTGAGGTGTTTATTGTTCAGTACATTAAAATTGTGTTGATAACAGTACCAGAAGATGGATGCTGCCATTCTAAATTATGTGGCATTGACTTCAGGGCTGACCAGCAAACAGCAAGAAAACTTGCTGGAGATTGGAAAGATGGTGATCTGTGTTTTATGGTGACAAAGCCCTTATCACAATAATTTGGAAGACAGTCTACCTCATTAACTTGTGTTTTTAGGTACAGAAATGGGAAAATAGAATGCTGTTTGCATGCATTGGTTCTGTTGGCTACATTTAACAAGGTACCAGAAAAAGATGAAGTTAGAAAAGAAGTTCTCAATTTGCAAGGGAATATAAAAAATTGAAAGGGAATATACAGAGCCCATAAATTTTAAGACTTGAATGAAAATTGGAACCAATTTTTGTTTTCAACCAGTAATAAAACAGAAATAACCTTTCAGTCTCAACATTCTCTGGGCAGCAAACAGGCTGAGTAAGCTCTTCAGCATCTAATGACAGCATAGTCTTCAATGCTCTTTTCAGGCATGGCTAAGGTAGATTATGAAAGAGGAAAAAACCTCCCAAAGAATTGAGTTAAAAGTCATGGAAAATAATGGAACTAGGAGGCTAGGTAATCAAGGAACCTTGTGAAGGGACCTCAGCAAGAACATAGTCTACCTCCAGGAAAGGGACCCTTGCACTATTGGCCTACCAGGATTTTAGAATTGCTGAGTACCAATAACTACTGTGTGCCTTACAGTATTTCAGTTTCTGAATTGAGACTGTTGATTGTGGTTATTCTCTCTCCATTCTACATTGTATGATGCATGGGGTTACAGAAATAGATAACTTGTCATTGCAGTTCATGCAAATTTTGTCTAATGCAGATTATGATGGCAAAATCCTGCACTTTGGAGTCTGATATTGGGATTGGAGGTATGTTTCTTGGGAAAAGAAG